TGGGCCGTTGGGGCAGTTGAGCTGAACACATTCAAAGCAACATTAGCCACAATGTTCAATAACTGATAGGATACATGTACGGTTTGGTGGGGAAAAGTGTGCGGACTCCTGTTAGTGGTTACTGACGGGGTAGCCCCATAATGACCAATCACGCGAATTGACCAGAAAATGCCGGTTTTTGAAAGCCGCCGATCTGGCTACGGCTTCAGCATAATAGAGCTCAGCGGACGAAAAATGCCGCCCATTTTCGCGGGCCAGAACGGACAACCCCCCTCCTCGGGGTTGTCGACCCCACGACGACCACCGCGTGGAAAGCCCAGGCGAGCTGGCTGGGCCCAGTGCTGGTGACCCCTCGGGATTGTCGACGACCTGTCGACCTTGGGTTCCGCTGAGACAATCCCGAGAAGGTCGTCTCAGCCGCGTGACGTCATCCCAGCTCGGCACGCGGGGCCGCGATGATCGCCACGCGGCCAAAAAAGAGACGTCCGAGATCGACCCCTGGATGGCGGGGCCATCGTGGACAGCCAGGGTGGCCACGACGGGCCAACGGAAGGTGGGGGTGCTTCGCGTGGGAAAACTTCGCGCCCAAGCGTTGCCAGGTCGGTGCGTACCACACGGCCATCATCCAACGGTTGCCCACATGCCCAAGGCGAAATCCGACCGTCCACTACCTCTGGCTAGGTGCAGTGGATACTGGCGGGAATGTCGGCGTCGACCAGAAGGTCTTCATCGTGGTGCCACGCGGCAGTGTCTCCCGCCCTCGAACTACCGCGCTGGGACCACGCCACGTACCGCACCACAGAGCCAGCGTGTAACACCCATGAAAGGCGCATTATGAGCGAAGCGCTTCAAGCATGCACGCCCGGTGGCACGTCGGTCACGGCGCCGCCGCACGAGCGTACATGCATAGCTGCGTCCTGCACAGGGGTTTGCGTGGAGCGCCAAGTGGAGCGGAGTCGCTCACGACCATACCAATCTGGGGTCCAATTGCAGGTCGCTCATTCTGCCTGCCGTTCTCGTGTGATTTTCATCCGTTAGCTGGCACTTAGATTTTTTCCCCGTTCCCTTGACGGCTCGCCCTTAGTTTTTTTTTGCATCGGGAGATTGTCGGCAGACGTGGAACGTCGGCGTCGTCAGAATAGTCAGACGTCGGGGCCGCCGTCTCGTAGTGTTGTCTGCGATGCCGACCTGTCAGATACCGCCGACTTAGAATCGCCATGTTTCATTTCACCGACCTCACCACACCGACTTCCCATCGCGAGACCCTAGGTCGCGGTATCATGGCCGGAGCACAGCCTCGCTCGACACCGCCGCAACCGCAGCCACCACCCGCCGACGTCGACATGACGGACGTTCCGAACCCCGCTAGCCAGGGTGAGGATGTCCGCCCGGTAGATCGTACACCGAACAGTAACCCCTCGTCGACGCTGCCCCTGCTTTACGATCTCGACGCCCTGGCCCAAATCCCGAAGGGAGAGTTCACCAAGGACGTTCCACCCGCGCCCATAGGGGAGTTCACGAAACCACGCAAAGACACGTCGGCACCCACGAATGCAGCGGAGGCCGGGCCGTCGTCGGTGCCGGACGGAGCGGGCGACCAGGATGAGGGAATGGAAGACTATTCCTCGGCGAGCGACGAGGACGACGACGCCGACCCGCGGCCCCAACGTGGCAGAGGTCCGAAGACGTTGGAAGAAAAGCTCAGGTCGGAACGTGCGCTGATTGAGGAACTTCTGGACGAGGACGAGCTAGAGGATCTGCTGAACGCGTCTGTCCCTCGAGAACAGTGGAAGGCGGCCGACTTCGTAGAGGAAGATATGGTGTACGCGTGCGTCGACGTGCTCGTGATGGAGGCATTGCGCCACCTGAAAACCATCGAGGCTAAGAGCACGCTCCAGTCCTACATCTCATGGATCTACCACTACAAGAGGTGGGCCGCGAAGATGCTCAAAGAGATAGGCGACAAGCTGCCGATCGGGGAACGAACTAGGCACGTCGACGAGATCGGGCACTGGATCCACTGCAACAAGAGCAAGGATTGGGACAACCCGAAGGTGGTCAAACGGAAGCACATCTGGCTGCACGGCCCCAAGGTCACTCCGACGCGGCTGCGCGCCTACGTCAAGTTCATGAGGCGGGAGTTCAAGATCGACGCCGAGACGAACGCGCCGGTGCCGTCCTACACGGTGCACATGATCCTCGGCCGCATCAAGGCATGCCAGATGGCGGCGAGGGTGGAAGCGACGCTGTACAAGGAGAAGGAGTTGGGCATCATGCGAGAAATCTCGGTTGTCCGGTCGGAGGTGCGGGTCATGGTCCGCACCAAAAACCAGAGGGACATCAAGTAAGTTGGCATCCAGCGCCGTTTTCTAGTCGGTGACGATTTGTTCCCATCGCCCTAATAATCCTACCGCCGTATTGTTCTGTCGACAGTAATTGCGCCGACCGTCGACGCGGCACCATCGGCGACACATACACCGCCGAACAGTTCCGCCAGATCATGACGAGGGTGCTGCCGGCTTGGGCGGCGTCGGCATGGAGCCCGCATTTCACCACTCCCTCGCAGACGCTGTGGAGGTTTCTTCTCGTCAAGGTGCTCACGCTGCTCTCCCACCACAGCCTCATGCGCGGTGCAAGCATCCGCGAGATCACGCTCCCCGACATCTTCTTGTACCGACTGGCGAGCACCTCGTCGGTGAACCCGGATAACCAGCCGGTCGTCATGGTGGTCGCCGCGCGGAACTCGAAGACGTCGAAGGATGCGCGTCTTCAGCAGAGCTACGCCGCGCGGCACCTCGAAGCGGAATTGTGCGCCGTCGGCGAGACCGGACTGTGGCTACACTTCATCCTCGACCAGATCGGCCAGTTTCACGGCGTCGACCTCATTCCGCCGGTCGACACCAGCACACGCGAGCGCTGGTACAAGAAGCACCTGTTCTTCGCCCGCAACGACCCCGAGCAGGGCGAACTCTCCGCTGCCAGCCACCAGCGATGGACGAGGCAGATGTGGAAGACGAACGGGGTGTACTGCAAGCGGAACGTCCATGCCGCTCGGGCAGGCGGGGCGCAGGAGCTGGCCATCAACGGTACGCCTCGCGCCGAGATAGCCGAGCTGGGTCACTGGGCTCTCGACAAGATGACTCGAGCCTACATCACAGCCATTCCCGTCGGCGTGGTGATGAAGAAGGCCGGCTATTCGGGCTACACGCAGGACTACTTCTTGGGGCGCAGCAGGGTGGAACCGTCGGACGAGCTTCTCAAGCTCATCGCCGAGCACATCTTCCCCGGCGTCGACGAGCTCCTTAAGAATGTATGTCGATCGGTACCGACCAAGCATCGCATGGCACTGTACTTTCAACCACGGTAATTACCCACGTCTGTTGTCTAATTGCAGGCGGAAGAACTCGCGAAGAAGGGGTCCGACGCCGACGTTGCTGCCGTGCATTTCTGGCGCACCCTCCAGATGTTCCGCCGCATTGTCGCCGAGGACCTCGCTGTGAAACTCGTCCGCACGCCTTGGCACCCGTACGTCCAGTATTCCAAGCTCTGCCGGATTCCCCTCTTCCAGCACTGGGCGAAGAGGGTGGAGAAGACCGACACCGAGACCATCAAAAAGCGGCAAGACCCAACCCTCATCCAGCCAGAGGTGAGTCATCTTTATGTCGACATCGCCATGAGCACTGTGCCCGATGACAACACCTCACCTGCACCGTTTTTCGCCTACATTGCAGGAGATATCGGTCCGCCATGACGCCCAGTACGCGGTCGTCTCCCTCACAACGACGCTGAAGCTCGAGAGGGAGCGGTCAGCGGTCGAGAAGATCGACCTCGAGGAGAAGCTCGAGCAGCGCGACGCTACCATCGCGTCGATGACGGACGAGATAACCCGCCTCACCGAGGCTCTCCGCGTTTCAGAAGCTCGTAGGATGCCGGAGGCGCCGCCAGCTGCGAACGAACAATCGCCGAGCGACGGTGGCTCCGCGGAGTCGGCAAGCAGGGGTGACGGAGCCAAGAAACCCAAAAAACCCCCACAGACGGTCGAGGAGGCTAGCTACGAGCTGAACGTGGTTCAGCCTTGGCGGAATGCAACGACCGTGAGGGACGCGTGGCGCCTCTGGACCTCGTGCACCAGCGCCGACACCCGTCGTCTGTGCGACAGGTTCTTCGAGCCGGGATTCGTCGACCGCCACACCCTCCTCGACGGAGCCTCGCAGGGAGCACACGGGACGAGGGTGCGCCGCATGATGAAGGTAATCGATGCCGTGCGCCAGCTTCGCAAGAGCGACGGCGAAGCCGACACCGAAGCCGTCGTCGACGCGCTTAACACGATAGCGGCGCCTGGCATTGGGACCTTCTCGGATGCCCTCACGGTGCTCAACGCGGGCAACAAACCGACCTATGCCGGGCAGGGTAAGGGCGTCAAGGGGCTCGGCAAGACGGAATTTGCCAAGCTTCGTCTCGCCAGTGCGCTCGTGGCGCGCGGGTTCAAGCCGGAGAAGTTTGTCGCCGACCTTTTCCCGGACACATGGGAGGAGGGGATGAAGAAGGCGTTGGCCGACCTGGCCCGCGAAAACGACGCCGGGAAGCTGCCTCCGACCAAGAAGTCGACCAAGCGCAAGAAGACCGCGTGAATGCTCACAAGCAACATGCGATTGTGGGCTGTTGCATGTTGTAGATGATGTTGTTACAGCATGCATGTGTTTCGTACTTATACAGTTGTCGACTTTGAGTTTCTCACAATGCTCATGTGGTAGTTCTAACATAGTTAGTCACGTGTCGGCCTGGTATCCTTCGTGATGTGACAAGATACTGGTTCAAATGTTCATTACACATCCTACATAAAGTCGACATGCACTCACACAAGGAAACGCAAAAAACCAGCATCAAAGGGGTCCGACAGCCGAAACACACAAAACGAGATCGACCATAGCAGCATCAAATCCAAGCAACAATGAATCCAAGCTAGCAGTAGGCATAGCGCTACATATGCCCCTCCCCGACTACGCCGACTCCTTCGCCTTCTGGCCCTTCGTCCCCTTCTTCTCCGTGCCGCCCTTGGCCTTCGTCGCCTTCTTGCCCCTCTGACCCTTTCTCCCCCTGTTGTCGATATCGGCCTTCATCTGCGCGTCAATCGGCACCGCGATGCCCCTCGCTTTGAGTTTCGGCCCGGCGACGGGGCACATTCCCCAGAACGCCATCGTCTCGACCGTCGCTCTTGCGATCACGTCGGCATCGACTCCGGCATCCACCCCCGGATAGGCCATGTCAAGGGCGGTCCTCTTGAGTGCTGGCGCGACGTTGTAAGCAACCTCTCCCAGGGGGCGGTCCCTGTTGATCTCGGCGTTCAGCACCGCCTCCATGACTTTGCCGAATACATCGGCGGTCGCCTGGCTCGCTCCGCCCACAAGCGCCGCCGCCTTCCCTTCTTCCACAGCATCCTCCACCTGGGCATCGCCGTTCTCGACGAAGCACCACACAGCGCATGCGGATGCTCCTAACGCCCATGCCGCCATATCCGTCTTCTCGTCGCTGTCTCCCTCCTTTCTCGCCGCTGTCGCAGCGGTCTTCCCATACGCAGCGCACATTGACACGCGGCCAATCAACGCGGACAGCATGGACGCCGACTTCGCCTTCCTCGGTGTCGGGATCGACTGGGTACCATATCGCTGGCAGGAGCGCGGCGTGCAGCGCATCGCCAGTGGTCTTGTAATGTCGATACTTGTCGAGGATCTCATTCAGCCTGTCACGCCAGCACAACAAACAGGGCGAACATTAGTGACCACCACAACGACATCGACTTTGGGTAGGAGGATTGCCGACTTACCGTGTCTTTGGAAGGAGCGTTCCCCGGGCCCACATCACCGTCCACATCCCGGTCGGCAAGATCCTGACCTCCTCCCACACCTCCTTCCACCTCTCCAACTCGGCGCTGTCCAGGACGGTGAGCTCGTTCATGAGCACCTTGCTCACGAAACCGTCGTAGACGACGAACGCGATGGAGTGCACGTACGCGAGCTCCATCTTCTCACGCGACTTGCCGATGTATCGATTGATGCCGTGCACCTTAATCTCGCCGACCCATCCTAGCTTGTCGCCCGAGGTATCGTGTCGGATGCCATGACCCCGCCTCTCCTTGCTCTTCCCCCCCTCCTCCTCCTCCTCCTCCCCACCTCGACCTCCTCCTCCTCATCGTCCTCATCCGCCTCCTCCACCTCCTCCTCCGCCTCTTCTTCTTCCTCCTGCTCGACGTCCTCCACCTCCTCGACATCCTCCTCCGCCGCCTTCCGCTTTCCCTTTCTCCCTTTCGACGAACCATCGCCGACCGCCTTCTCCTTCCCCTTTCTCCCCGTCGACGCACCTTCTCCTACCGACTTGTCCTTCCCCTTCCTCCCCGTCGACGTACCCTCGCCGAGCGACTTCTGATTCTCCCCCGCTTTCCCTTTCACCCCCGTATTGCCGCCTCCATCCTTGTCAGCCGCCGTCTCAGCCGCCTTCCCCTTCCCTCTATCCGCCGCCTTCGCCTCCGACTTCTCCCGCGTCTTCCTCTGTGAGCCCGCCTTCCCCTTCCGTTTCGCCTTTCCATCGCCGACAGCATCACCGGTCGCAGTCGGCTCTGCTGGACTGCCGACGAGACCCGCCGAAGGCTCCACATGTGCCGTGTCGGAGATGGCCAGCGGTCGGGGATTGGCAGCATCCAGGTGGGCCTGTATGGCAGCGATATCAGCATCGGGGGGCGCCTGCTCGACGGGGCCGCCGCCGGTGGCAAGGGCGGCACGAACGCCCTTCTCCGCCGCCTTCTCAACCTCAGCTGCCACAGGGGTGGGTGGTGCGACTTTTGCCGACGACGTCTTAGCGCCGGAGCCAGAAGCCTGCTGAGTTGGCGCAGTCGACGCTAGTGCGCCCAGCTGGGCGCGCAGCAACGCGGACTTTGGGTCTGCAGGAGCACGGGCGGCGACGACCGGCGACTTTGGGACACTGGCAGATGGGGCGTCGACAGCAGCGGGGGGCTGTTGAACAGCCTTGTGGCCGGCTAGGCGCCTGAGCTGCTCCTTGAGCGCGTCCGCAACTGCCGCCCCTTTCCCCGCGCGGCCAGCCTTGTCGGCAGCCGGGACGTCGGCAGAGCGCGGGACGTCGGCAGGTCGCCCGGCAGACGGTCCGGTCGGAGGGCGTGCACCAGCTGGGGGCTGGTGAGGAACCGCTGACGCCACCGCGACCCCTGTCTTCGGGCCCTGGCCAGCTGGGGCCGTTTTTGCGGCCGCCTTCTCCTTGTCGCGCAGCCCTTCTTCACCGCTACCCTGTCGTGGTGGCTTATCGGCGACCGAAGGCGGAGCCCTTGGCAGTGCGTCATCAGTGGCATGCTCGTCGGCGGGACCCCCACCACCCTGATCAGTGCTGGCCGCTCGAACCCCAGCCCAGTGCTTCTTGAGCATGTCGAGCACGCTCTTCCCCGACTGCTTCCCCGAACTGCCTTCCCCGGCTCCCTTGCTCCCATCGCCAGCGACGCGAGAACCAACTGCTCCCTTGGTCTGCCTCGCGCTCGCCGAATCGTCTTCGTCCCCCCCCCCCCCCTCTTCTCCGGCCTTCTTGCTACCGTCGCCGGCGACGCGAGAACCCCCCGCTCCCTTGCTCCGCTTCGTGCTCCCCGCGTCGTCTCCGTCGCCCCCCCCGCCGCCTGCCCCCCTCTTCAGACCCTGCTTCGTGGCCTCCATAGGTTGCGCATGGCCGGCGTCGTTGGCCGACGGCGACGACCCACGCCGAGCTTGGGTCGCCACAGTGCCGACCATCTCGGTCATTATCTTCAAACCGGAGGCGAGGAAAGACTGCTGCGTGACCTCCGTCACCGCCTTCAGCAGATCCTCCTTGAATGAATTCAGGAACTCTTCCGGCAAGGCCTGCGCTGGGGTGGTCGGCGGCGGCGGCTGCACGACGAGGCGGGGAGACACGGCGGCTGCAATGTTGGTCTGCGCGGCGCCGATGTATTTTATGAACGTCTCCTCCAAAGCCTTCCTCGCCTCACCCACCTCACCCGTCACGTGGTCGGCCAATTGGTCCACCGCGGTCGCTCGAGCGACCGCCATTCGTCCGTTGGGGGCGTCAATATCCAGCAGCATCTGCCTCGCTAGCTCGGCAAACCTCTTGCCCGATCGCTTTCCGTCGGTGTCCGCAACCTGGGCGGTCAATGCCGTGAGCTTGTCGAGGATCCCAGCTACCGCCGCCGCCAAGCAGTCGACCCGCCCCGCCTGATCACCGAGCTGCCGTTGCAAGCGTGCATTGTCGGCACGCAATTGTCGGTTCTCCGCACGCAGCTGCTCGACGACGTCCGGCATCGCCTGCCGACCAACTGCGGTGGAACTTGGATGACCGCTCACCGCCTTCTTTTTCCTGGACCGCTCCCCCCCGGCCTTCTCTGCGGTAGCATCGGAATGCATTTCCACGCCCGTCTGCTTCGTCGCCGCGGCGAAATCCCCATCTTCGTCGGCCTCGAGGTCGACAACTTCCTTCCCTTCGCCGACAACGACCATCCCACTCCCCCCGTGAGCCGCCTCCTCGCCGACCTCCTTGCTGGGTTCCGCTGTCGCCCCCTTCCCCTCTCCTTCGATTTCCGCCGATCTCCCACCCGTTTCCGCCGCTCCTTCTGCAACGTTCCCCTCCGCCATTTCCACGTCCACCTCTTCGTCATGTTCCTCCTCTTGCTGCTCATGGTGCTGCCTCTCGTGCTCCTGCTTCTTCTGCTCCTGCTGCTCCTGCTCCTCCACCGACTCCGACACCGACTCCGACTCCTCCGAGCCCCCCTCATCCTCACGATCCGCCTCACGACCCTGGACCCCATCATCATCCCCATGAACAACCTCGTCCCGGTGCTTCTCCTCGGTCCCGGCCACCCCATGTCCTGCTGCCGCATCGGCCTCGTCGACGCCGCTACCCGGCTTCCCGACCGAGGTGCCACGCGCATCAGCGACGGCAGGGGCGACACCGCCAGCTTGGGGCGCCGACTGAACCTCCTCGCCGTCGTCGTCACAGACGTCGGCCGCAACTACGTTTCGGCCCGACCGCATTAGCGCGACCTGCTTCTTGATGAAGGCTACCATCTCAGTCCGCAGCCCCTTCAACCCCGCAACAGCGACCTTGTCCATGCTGGTGGCACTGCGACGGAGGGCGCCGGCCAACCGATCCTTCCGCCTCACAGCCCAGAGCAACGCGCTCATTGCTAGCAGGCCGGAGCCCGCGTCCCCGTCCCGGACGGTGTCGGGCACTTTCTGCACACAACACAGGAGATCGGCAGTCGCATATGATATGAGCACCGATATGAGCACTGATATGAGCACCGAGATCGGCAGTCGCATCTCGCAAGGACGAACGGCAGTTGCATCGCGCAAGGAATTGACACCAAACGTACGAAACTCACATCTCGAAGGGGTTCGTCGCAGTCGGCGAGCCTCGCATGCACCTCCTCCTCGGACGGCTTCGCCCAGTCCCATTTCCTACCTTCGCGCCGAAGCTCGGCCATTACAGCCGCCCGGAAAAACCTGCAAAGCATGGCACAGACGGTCAGTTAGCACGGTGCACGCTCCGCATTGACAACGCAAGCGGCGTCGACTACACTATTGAGCTCACTCCAGCACGCGTTTCGCCTCTTTGATGTGCCACTCCTTCACAGTCTGCGGGTCGGCGTGCCGGATCGAGGTCCTGATCAACTGGCCCGATGCCTTCAACAAGTCGCCGGGGCACAGGATGATAATGACGCTGCAATGTGTTCCCGGAAGCGGTGCGATGCTGCACAGACAATGGACGTCGACATAGATCAGAACACATAATCGACGCAGGTTGCACCACACGCGCGACGACCCCGAACACCCTCACCTCGATATCAGTGGGATAACCGCCACGTCGGCGTCAAAAACCTTCGCGAAGACGGTATGGTCGTTCTGACCCATCGCCGCCCTAAGACGGCCGACTCCTATCGACCACAGCCGCTGGTCCTCCTCCGTTCCGCGCAACCATGCGTGCCTGCACGCATGCATGATCAGGAGGAGTGCGTGAGGATGTGGTCGGGACGCCGGCAGATACTACGGTTGCGGCAATAACACGACGGGTCGGGGATTCGACGAGAGCCGAATGAATATGGCACAACGCATCGCCTACGCCGACCAGACACCTTACGTCGGCGCCACCGATGTGATCGACATCCCTAATCCCTAACCCATGAGTCCGTCGACCTAAAAGACGGGTATTATGAAACCACGCTAGGGCTATCACCAGCATGAAATAACGACGCCGACATCCCCATACGTCACTCACTTGAGGCCGAGTCCCAAGCAACGGGCGTTAAACTCTAGCATAGGGTTTGTCAGAACGGCGTAGTCGTGTTCCTCGAACTTGGATGTGAGTCCTCTACCGACGCTTAGATACAGGGGGAAGTCGCGCGAGGTCGGCGTCGCTTCGTCGGCTTTCTGGTCGGCCGCCATGGCGGGAGAGCGAGGATGCTATGCTACGGGCTAAGGGAAGAAACGGTGGGAGAATGGAAGGCGCAGAGGTGGGAAAAGAACATGAAAGAGAAACGAGAACGCGAAAATGAAGGGGACAGCCCACCTCCAACGAAGAAAAGCCAGGCGGAGCCTCGCAGGCCCGGTTGAGCGTCGCCCAGGGGGCCGTGGTCCCTGGCTCGGCAGGGCTCGTGCACGGGTGGCGTGGCACAAGTGCACCCTCGCCGCCGAGCCAGCAGGTCGACGTCACGTCCCCTGGCCTCGGTCGGCCAGGGGACGCAAATTCGCATGCACGCGGTGCGACGTTTCGGCACCACGTGTCGATTTCGCAGCGGGTCGCGAAAACCGTGCGCCTTGGTGCGAGAGACCCAAGGCTTCGCTCGATTTTCGGCGGGTACGAAATGTCGCATGCATAGAAAAAACGATGCGAAACGACGGGCGGGCACGTGGCGTCACCGCAACGGGTCGCGAAATCGCCGATCGTCCCGAGGGGAGCCCCCGAATTTCGCACGGGCCTCGCCTGCCCGTACGGGCAGGCCGCGATGGGTTACTAGGACCTCGCGGGCAGGAGGGACGGGTGGGCTGCCTTCGCGCCGGGGTTACTTTCCCTCGCGCGAGGTCTCGCCAGCTCGCCGCCCCCACCCGGTAACGTGGGTCGCTGTTCACTTCCGGGGGGGTTTTGCGGGGCGGCGGTCATGCGCTCGGCCCAGCCCCGGGCCAGGCTGGCGGGCCCGCACGCGCGTCAGTCGCCCGCCTCGTCGGGCCCCCTTCCGTCGACCCCCTCGTCGACCCTGGCAATCCGGCTCCGTCGACCGAATTCCGCTGGGATCTTCAGCTAGATTTCGCAATTGCCACAAAGAGCTGGAGCGACAGCCCTCAGCAGGATAAGGGGTCCTGAAAGACTCTTTTAGAGAAGACCCCGAGTCTGTTACATAAACTACCGAGTTCAGATACAATTTTGACCACACTTGTTTTGATCCAACGAGAATTTACACCCAGAAAATTCAGCGCTTAGTTGCACAACAGGATTCACGTGAAGTTCAACCCATACCGTTTCCACCAGCAACCCATGCGTCCACCACCACACCACCCACCCAGCCTGACCAGTGTCCAAAAGCTTGGCTTTCCCCCACCTCGTGGGCTCGTCTTCGCCTCGCCGTCATGGTGAAACGCTCAGCGCGGCAGCGGAATGCCATTCGTCCCACCTGCCATTTGCTGCCCGGTTACCAGCTCCATCCAACCACCTCTCACCTCCAGACACCTGTCAGATCGGAGCACCTAGAACGAGGGAGGGAAGAAAGGGAGGGAAAAGCCCCCCAGTTGCTCAGCTTGGCGTCTTCTCTCCTCGCTTCTAGGTTCACCCTTCGTCGTTGCCAAATGTCTCTCGCCTCGTCTCTCCTAGCCGCCCTTGCTTGGCAAGGCAACATTGCTCCATTGCTGCCTGTGCCCCCTCCCTGCTCCCATCACGTCGCACCATCCATTCGTAACAGCGCTTTTGCAGCACGGCCGTTTCTGGACCTCAAACTGATAGGTCCAATTTTGCTTGCTGCATTTTCCCTTCGTGCCTCTTTCTCCTCCGTTCATTCCTACCAACCAAAGCCACTTTCGTTCAACCCACGCAGAAGTTGAGGCATTGGTGGCATTGGTGGAACTCCTAGGTTTGTCTCACCCCATTCAGGGAAACCCAAGCATCTCGCTCACGATAGATTGCTTGCAGCGGCGTGGCTTGGCCCGAGAAGCCCTGTTCCCACGGCAACCTTGGTGTTGCCCAGCTGGAGCAATCAATTTTGTTCTGGGGGTGGCTCTTTTCAATAAACGTCCACCGTAACAGGAAACGCAATCCGGACTCTTTCTCCGCCTTTTCAGTCCATTTCGAATTCTCCCAACAGAGGAGGTTCCTCTCGTGTCTCGTCGATCAATCTGGCAGGTCCATAGCTCGCGACGAATCCGACTTGGATTAGCCATGGCGTTCTCCCGAATGAGCTTTATGGACGCTCTCCGAGTCGCCTCGAAGACCAAGGATGCGCCGTCAGCTTGGCTCCCGAGCCGCCAATGGCCGGCAGAACTGACGGACCCTGCCTTTTCGCCGACCGTCAAGAAACGGAAGCCGTGCACGTTTGAACCGTACGAGCCGCCGCATCTCGCGTCTCTCTCGGCTCCCGACGCCGCGGTGCCAGTCGTTTCATCGCCGTCGTGTTCCGTTTCATCTACGAAGCTGCTCGTGATGCCGAGCGGGCCGTTCCGTATCGACTCGCCTGCGCACGGCTCCTATCGTGAAACAACCTCTCAAACGCTCGAAGTTGAATCGGATCCTCCGCTCCTTCGCGCTATGTCGACTCCGGCACAACCGTCCCGTGGCAGTGCACTCCGTGATGTCTCCCCGCTTCGATTGGCCGAGCCGCCGCTGCTACGAACGTCCACGTGTCGTGCCGCCGCAAGGAGCTCGCTTTCGCGAGTTTTGCCGAACCGTAATGGTGAACTCGCTACATCCTCCTCTGAGCCCCTTTTGGCTTCTGACAGCGAGCTTCCGAAAACGTCGTCGTCGCATCAGCTGACTGGCCAGGCCATTTTCCAACACAGCAGAGCGAAACGTGAGTTTGCTTCGTGTAACGACGTTACCAGCACCTGTCTGTTTGGTTCGGGCTTGGGATGGGTGAATCCCTCGGCGCTCGCGTCGTCATTGCGCGGCGAAAAAGCTGGGCGCTCGGTGGCTGACTTGATGGATCCAGGGCGCGCGCTGGTGCCAGAGCTGGGGAAAGCTGTGCGACTTTTGCGAAAAAAATTGTCGCAGGAGCGACAACATCAGCAGCAGAAAACCCCAGTTCCGCTACCTAGCACGGCGACAGGAGAACAGCGGAAGCAGATCTCGCAACCGTCGCAAGCGCTTTGTGGGCAATCGCAGGAATCGTCTCAGACATTGCCCGCGGAAGACCCACCGTCTTCTGCTGCGGGCCCAGCGGGGGGAAATCACAGCCGAGAATTCAGCCTGCCCGAGATTCTGCACTGGGAGGAGGAAGTTTTTGCGAAGGGGGTCAAGCAGCAATCTGAAGGGACCTCGGGTATGAAATCTTCCAGCAAAATCTCAGCTTGCGCGGGTGATAGTGTGGGGGAGGTGGGAGCAGCACAGTGCGGGGATGCGCAACCAGCCCGCGCGGTTGCGGAAGGGTTGGGCGGAGAAGTGCGCGACGAAGATAAGCTGTGCATTCACGAGCTTCTGGGGCAAATCACAGGCGAGTACGAAGGTGGCGCAGCGGGAGCTGCGAAGGCGGAAACGGCGGAGCGTATGGAATGCGACGGTCAAGTTGGCTTTGTGTCCAATCACAGCGTTCCTTCGCATTGTACACCGTTACCAGCACCAGAAGCAGGCACCTCGGCTTCGCCAAATGTTCGCCGGAAAAGGCCCCCTCCTCCTCCCCCGCTGGTCGATGTTGCCAACGTGGCATGTGCTGCTTTCACTGAAATGTGTACCTCGGAAGGCGGTGTTTCCTCCTATTCTCCGGATGAAGCGGTAACAGAAGTAACAGCAGCAGGAGGAACAGGAGCAGTTGTTACACCTCCAGCTGAAGCATCAGTTGCTGCATCAATAGCAGCAACAGCTGAGCTGCCATGCCCCACACCTACAGGCTGGGGTACCAACCAATGGGACCGGTTCTTTCCTGCCGAGCCAACCACTCCTTCAGGCATGGGACCTACTGCTGCATCCGTGGCTTGTGCTGGAGGCAGTGGTCCTGGAGGCAGTGGTGCCGGTGGTTCTGATGGCAGTGGCGGTCATGGTGGTAATGGAGGCCGGTTTGCCTCTCTGTGGTCAGAGGCATGGACAGAGGGTTTCAATGTGGATCTTTCTGGTTTGACAGCTAACCCTGCATTGTGGTAATGACAATAACTTTGGTACCGGTAATAAAAGCTCAACAATGAGCCTCCATCCACTCTGCATGCAACCCTTTTCCGCTCCTGCGGTCCACACTTCATTCACCTATCAGTAACTTAGGTAGTTTGCCTAATGCCAGTGAAATGCATCCTGCCCCACCTGGTGCTCACTGATCTACTGTGGTATCTTAACCTGCAATATTGAAGTTGTGAAATATTGGTTGATGAACAATCTGATCACACAGGAGATGTGTAACAATATAGGAACCCTTTCGCGAGGGTTGCATTGCGACGTCGCAAGCTCTTGAGCCCCAACATCCGAAACGCGGTTTTCGGGGGCTGGTGGCGAATGCACATTGCACAGCAACCAATGTCGCGCCTCGAAGGCAACCCACCTCAACACAGCACCAATAATTTCGCAAGCTACAACACCGCAAATTCTCCCAAGCAGGGAGGTTCTCCCAAAAACAATTTTCCACTCACAATTCTCAACACCAATAATTGCACTGACTCCTGCCTTGCCAAGCCGCTGAATTGACGTCACCATGATTGCGCCGCGTCTTCCGTTCCCCTCGCCTCGTGTCTTCTCATCCCAATGATAAAAAATAGCCAGGTCGCATCCGCTTTGACACCATACACAGCGTCTCATTGATATTCAAGGTTAGCGGGTTCATTCTTTGTTCACAGTCGCTTTCGCGGGAACATCTTACTATCATCCAAGCATCTCGCTCGAGCACAAAGGAAGTAGCATGGCTCGCTTTTCTGTGTTCTTGACTCTCGCGGCTCTCGTGGCTTTCATCCTCGCGCTTTCCTATTGCTCGCCTGCAGACTGCCGGCTGGATATTCCATTGAGAGGTAAAAGCCGCCAATCGCTTATGAGTGAATGAAGCTTCTGCGATTTCCTCTCTGACTACAGTTGGAATTCGTCGCATATCATGATGCTGGTACAATGTGGAACATTCACATTGTGATTTGAATCTCCGCTTTGTGTGCACCTGGCAGGTGCTGTGGCGAAGACGCTGACTCAGTCTACGTTCCCGCGGACAACCGGCGCAATGAGGCGGCTGCTTGATGAGGACAACGATGACGATGATGATGACGATGACGATGACGATGACGATGACGGCGAGCATCATGACAATGACGACAAAGATCACGACCACCACAACGACAGTAAAGACAAGCATGATGGCGATAACGACAAGCATGACAACGATAACGACCATGACGATCATGAGGGCGACGATCATGAGGGCGACGATCATGAGGGCGACAAGGAGGATGGGCATGACAAGCACAGCGATTCCAGCCACAGTGGCAATAACGGCAAGGATCTCAGTAAATGCGTGGAGGAGTATAAGCGTGCCGTGCAGTGGTGCATGGTGAAACCCATGAAGGACGAGTGTGATAAGGAGGCTTATAAGGCGTACAAGGCGTGCAAGGGCGAAAACTGATTCCGTGGTACAGTGAGTAATTCCGAGGGGGCAGCGGAACGTGCGGGGGCAGGAGAAAACTCGAGGCGTGAAGGAATAAAAGGACCGCACAGATTTATGCGGGGCTTTAGATGCTGGTATCGAGTGATGGAGATCGTCTTTGTGCATCAGCTTGTAACGAAGAACAGGGCCAAGGACTCTGTGTGAACTTGGTTGATTTCCAGCGTTGTATCTATCTAACACTCTGCTTGTGATGAATTGGCAATAATAGTGGTATTAGACAGAACACGCTTGGAAAAATGCTCATGATCGCTTGTGGATGGTCAAGCTTTCCTTTTGTAACTTGAAGCCACCTCGAGAATATCCCCTATCTCCTCCAGCGACAACCCCTTGGTTTCAACCACACAATAGTATACAAATGCCATGGAAATAATGCACACGCAGCCAAAGAAAGGTACACCCCACTGACCCCAACCAGTGTTGAAGCTGGAAGGAAGAAGCACCCAACACAGAAGTTGCACACCTGGAAGGTAGAGGGGAAGAAACATTAAGAATGTAGGGGATAACGTGACAAAGCAAGGCTCCTCTAAACAAATTTGGCTAGAACAAGCAAACAGCCGGGCACGGCCAGCGAGCAAGAGCAAACATACGCAGTGAACAGCCATGCTGCAGGTCAACCCTGCAGCTCGCGCTTGCAATAGAATGTACCAGACATCCCAAGCACACCAGGCACGGGGGCACAGCAGCAGCAGACACAGGGGGCCGAGCAGACACAGGGGGCAGAGCAGACACACCAGTCACAGGGGGGACATCAGAAAAAGGGCACACAATGACACAGCAGACAAGCCTACATACCCAGTGAACAGCCATGCTGCAGGCCACCCCTGCAGCCCGCACTTGCAGGGGAATATCTCGGGGAGCAACAGGCTGGGAATGGGACCCACTCCACAGGAGAATGCTGTCACATACCAGTAGTGCAGACATGTACAATAATGATGGATTATGAATCATGGACAAGAGACAAGTGATACGTCTTTTGAGTTGACCGAAAGACTACAGCAGAATGCGGTCACATATCTGCACAGATGTAATGATGGATTATGAATCAAGGACAAGAGACAAGTGTTGTCACTTTTCTTTAGTGGACAAAATGCTGCTGAATACAATGTTGTTGCATATGTATTGTTCGTAGTAGTGTAATAATGGACCAACATGGACAACATGGGATAGTAACAAATGCTGGAGCATTTGTGAGTGTGTGGTAGTAAAAGATAGAGAGAGACCGATGCGTTTATCTTACGTGATTGTGCCAACAACAGAGAGAAGTGGCGCATGGGGTTGCAGGAGAGGCCAGGATAGGACCGCCGAGAGGAACAGCATTGAGCATCCCTGGGGCATTGCCATTCATGGGTTGGGTGGGAGCTCAATGGAGCATAGCAGGGAGGGGAGGGGAGAGAAGTGGAGCATGGGGTTGCAGGAGAGGCCAGGATAGGACCGCCGAGAGAAACAGCATGGAGCATCCCTGAAGCATCGCCATTGCCATTCATGGGTTGGGTGGGAGCTCAAAGGAGCAAGCCAGGTAGGGAAGAGAGGGGAAGCAACTGAAGTGGAGCATGGGGTTGCAGAAGAGGCAAGGAGAGGACAGCCGAGAGGAACAGCATAGAGCATCGCTGGAGCAACACCATTGCTATTGATGGATTTGAAGGGCAAAGAACACGGAGAGAATGCGACGGAGACCAAGGGAGGAAGAGGAAGGGGGGAGAGGAAAGGAGGGAGTCGAGGGGAGGAAGAGGGGGGACAACTTTAAAGTCAAAGAAACGATTTGACTCTTTAGTTTGTGCACATGACCCAAGCTTCTGGAAACGGATTAGTGGAGCAATAGCAGCATTTGTCAAAAAGAGGAGCGTTAAAAGATAGTGATCGAAAAGAACAACTGAGGCATTTGTGCACTCTGCACTCCACTGCACCGCTCTGAACTGCACACAAACCCCACTGTTTTCCTGTACCATGCCAAGGAAGGAGAGCAGCAAAAGGGGCTTTCTCCCTGCCGAGTCAACCAGACGCGCTGCCAGCAGTACAGCTGGGGGGATGGAGGGAACGAGAGAAACGAAAGAAATAAGAGGAACGAAAGAAATGAGAGCAACAAGAGAAATGAGAGCAACAAGAGGATGGAGGAGAGCACATGGGAGAGACATGCGAGATGAAGAGGCTAAATACCTCGAAACGTTATGACCAGAGCGAGTTTGAAGTTTGAACAGGAGGGCAGTGGCAGCAATACCAGAAAAGAGGCCAGCAAATCGGAATGAAGGACACGCACAGGACGGGAGGGGATATTTTTAGTTGACTCAGAAATCGCATGTCAGGGATGGCTCACACGTACCTGCTAGCTTGAACGGGGCGATCAGGACAGAGGCAGCAATGCCGGAGGAGAATCCAGCAGAACGGAAGGCGTGAGAGGAGAAGCAAATGGGAGAGACATGGGCGGGAATGCCATAAGAGAGACATGGGAAGGAAAGTGAGTGAAAAGGAGGAAACCTGACCTGCGAGTTTGAACGAGGCGATCAGGACAGATGCGGCAATGCCGGAAGAAAACCCGGCAGAGCGGAAGACGTGAGAGGAGAAGTAGACAACAGCGTTGATGCCTGCAAACTGCTGCAGAGCGAAGAGTGCTGGGCCTAGCAGCAGCACTGCATTGGGTGGGGGGTGATGGTGGTTGGATAGAGGGGATGGGCGGGATATGGTTGTAGGCAGCTGAGGACAAGCATGCAAGGAGAAGTAGACGACTGCATTGATGCCTGCGAACTGCTGCAGTGCGAAGAACGCCGGGCCTAGGAGGAGCACTGACGGGTTTGGGATGAATGAATTGGGGGAAAGGAAGTGGAGGGAAAGTGGAAGAGGAGGAGATACTTTGAGAACGTGTGAAGGGAAGTAGACGACAGCGTTGATGCCTGTGAAGTGCTGCAGGGCGAAGAGCGCTGGGCCTAGCAGCAGCACTGTGAGAGGGCGGAGGAGGGAAGAAGTGATCTGAGGCAGAAATCGAGACATGCAGAAAGAGACCTCTTCCCCAACCCCCCTCACATCTTCCCCAACCACCTCACCTCGCCAGTATTTTGGATGAAAGAGAGAGGCAGCAGGGGGCGGAGCAGAGCGGCTGCTGGTGAGCAAAGGCGTTTTTTGACTCAACTCAAGAGTCACCACCTCCGCGCCTCACCTCGTTCCCACCTACGCCTGACCTCCCCCCAACCCGCTCACCTCGTCGGTATCTTGGATGGAAGAGAGAGGCAGCAGGGGGCGGAGCAGACAGAGCAGAGCGGCTGCTGGTGTGCAAAGGCGAGTGCAGGGCGGTGCTGGTTGCAACATGAGCAGCATGCTTTCGAAGCACCTCAACAGAGGAGCAGCTTCTGGTGGAGTGCAGTGCGGTGCTGCTGGGTGCATCAGCAGCAGCATGCTTTCGCGGCACCTCGACAGCAGAGCAGCTGCTGGTGAGGTGCAGCGCGGTACTGCTGGGTGCATCAGCAGCAGCGGACGTGAGTGCAGAGGTGACAAGTGGGTGTGTCGACATAAGCTCCTGCAACACCTCTTCTGCCCCCTCCGTTCCTCTCAGGATCACTGCTGCTCGCGCTGCTGCATGCAGGCTGTGGTGCTGGTGGTGAGTAGGGAGGGAGAGCAATGGGCAAAGATTGAAACGGGGTTTGCAGATCACTGATGCTGACGTGGGCTACAGCAACACCTCTTCTGCCCCATCAACGTGAATCTTACTTTTGAGAATTCTCAAAAGTAAGATTCACCTCTTCTGCCCCATCAACGTGAATCTTACTTTTGAGAATTCTCAAAAGTAAGATTCACCTCTTCTGCCCCATCAGCAGCGGTGGACGTGAGGTGCAGCACGGTGCTGCTGGGTGCATCAGCAGCAGCGGACGTGAGTGCAGAGGCGGCAAGTGGGTGTGTCGACATAAGCTCCTGCAACACCTCTTCTGCCCCCTCCGTTCCTCTCAGGATCACTGCTGCTCGCGCTGCTGCGTGCAGGCTGTGGTGCTGGTAGGTGGGGAGGGGAGCATGGGGAGAGAGTGGAACAAGGTATGGGGTCACTGATGCTGACATGAGCTCCTGCAATGCAACACCTCTTCAGCCCCCCCAGTTCCAATCGGGTGCATCAGCGACAGCGGACGTGAGTGCAGAGCTATGTTGCACTATACGCTTAGGAAATTTTACGTTTCACGTATATGCGTTCACGTATAAACGTGAAAACGTGAAACGGGGACAAATACGCGATACGTAAATCCGGGCAGGGGAAAAAAAAAAGAGAAAAAAATCTGTTGCCGCTGATTCCGCGATCTGCAATTCTGTGAAACCTAATTTTAGATTCGAACTCGAATGCCCCCCTCCCCTCCCCCCCACCGCACATCACCTCACACCACCTCCCAAACCCAACCTTCCCTTACAAGCTGCTCGCCAGTCGGCGTGAGTACAACAGCGAAGCTCACGCCAAGTTTACTGCTATTGCTAGCAGCGGCGTCGCGTCACTTGCAGATTTTAGCAACCGCAATATTAGGACGATTCTAGCCAACAATTTCGTACTGGCAAAAACCCCACGGGAGTTATCCGCATCAAGTATTGCTGAAGTTCTTTCCCTATAAGCATTCTACCTCAACTGAAATGTTTTTTCCCTGCCCTAGAAAATTTCAACCTGCCCGACGCACCGTATTTCGAGGTTTTTTGTACGCTGGAAATTTGCGTATCGCGTATGTACGATACCGTATAGTTCGTACGCGTTCCGTACGCCATACGCGTATTTTGCAACATAGGTGCAGAGGTGACAAGTGGGTGCAACACCTCTTCTGCCCCCTCTGTGCTGCCCGCGCTGCTGCGTGGAGGCTGTGGTGCTGGTGGGTAGAGAGGGGAGGATGGGCAGAGAGCGAAACGAGGTTTGAAAATGATTGATGCTGACGTGAGCTCCTGCAGAACCTCTACTGCCCCTTCCGTTACTCTCAGGATCACTGCTGCTCGCGCTGCTGTGTGCATGCTGTGGTGCTGGTGGGTGGGGAGGGGAGGACAGGCAGAGCGCAAGAGGGAACAGCAGAGAATAGAAGGGTAGGACAAGGGGAGGGAAGACGAGACAGTGAGATTTGGAACACAAGTGTCGGCGCCAATACAAGCAGCTAACTCTACCAGAAGGAGGCTGACACAGAGGGTGTTACAGCCGAACACTGTGAACAAAACAGGAGACAGGGAGGGCCCAGAATCAGCTTTACGCCAGGGCATAGGGCGCTTGTACCTTGCCAATGTAACTACCAATGTACGTACCAATATACCTACCTGCAGCAGCAAACGTACCAGCATCAGCCAGCGGGGAGTCTCTGGTGCTGCCACTGCCATGCCGAGCAGCAAGAGGCAGGGAGGGAGAGCGCCCAGGAGAAACATGCCCCGCCACCTGCGACAATAGGAGCAGGTGCGGTGAAGTGCGTTGGAATGTGGTTCTGTGAGTGAGCAGCAGCCACCGGGAGAAGGGGGGGAGCCGAGCAGCAAGAGGCAGGGAGGGAGAGCGCCCAGGAGAAACATGCCACGCCACCTGCGACAATAGGAGCATGAATAGGAGTTCAAAACGGTGGGATGCGGTTCTGTGAGGGAAAGGCAGGTGGGGGACAGCCCACAATTTAAAGCAGGGCACACATGGTCAAAATTTCAGACGCCGATGCCTCACCAGCTGTGATATTGTTCCAGAGGCAAGCCGACCAACAGGGCAGAGAAGACGCCGATGCTTGTTGAAAGCACTGGGAATGACTGACTTGGGTGCAGTGCAATGCGGTTCTGCATGCATCGATGCCTCACCAGCTGTGGTGTTGCTCCAGAGGCAATCCGACCAGCAGCGCGGAGAAGACACCAACGCTAGTGGAGAGCTGAGCCAACGTGCCCCACGTGCCGCGCGATGATGTGGGGGTTACCTGCGGTGGAGATCGGTTGGGTGTGGGGCAACAAGAGAAGGAGCGGTACAGAGGATCCCCATATTAGGTTGATAGAGACACTGATTTAAAGGGAGCAGGGCAGAGAGGACGCCAGCGCTTGTGGAGAGCTGAGCTAACAAGCTCCACCCTCGAGAACGTGAAGGAAGAAAGCGTGGGGCAATGGGGAATTAGCCCAGGTTAACTCAAGAGCAACTGGGTAAATAAGTCGGATGCAGGCAGAAGAGATGTGAGCAGCGCATGAAAGTGGGTGTGTATGTTATGATAATGTAGACTAGAAATTACCAGAACAGTGTAATTACCTCTGATATGTAGAGAGGAACAGTGCCAGATACGATTCCCAGCCCAATTCCAACAAGCGCTCGGCCAATCACCATGTGCCACGTGGCAGATGCTGCAGCACTGCACTGCAGAGGGTGGGAAAGAGTTTGTGTGCTGAGATCAGTGCGGTCTGTGTGGTACAATGGCGTATGGAGAGGTGCAACGAGGTGAAATGAGAGAGTAAAATAGAGAGAAGGATAGGATGGATCTAGCGAGTGAAATACATGATGGGATGGGATGGGATGGGATGGGATGGGATGGGATGGGGTGGGATGGGATGGGATGGGATGGGATGGGAGGGAATACGAGCAGCGCAGGGAGGGAGTGAAAGATACGATTATACTCAACAAGGAGGGAGTGAAAGAAACGAGTATATTTAACAGATGAATCTAGTTTGAGACAGCGGGGCAGCAACTGTATGAATATGAACCGGAATCCTGCCTTCACCCCTCCCACTCATGCCCCCCCTTTTCCCCGCTCTCTTTTCCCTCCTCTTTGCACATGTTTTCCCCTCCCAGAAACCCCAACCCCTTCCCTCCTCCCTCTGTGCGCATTAACCGCGCAAGGGCGTTCACCCGCCACACACCTGAGCAGCGATCCACAGATGAACGGCAGGGATGCAATCTGAAACGCACGCCTCCTCCCTGCCACGGCAGCAAGCCACCCACCCAGCGGCGCCCCCACTGCTGCAAGAGCCAATGGAATGCTCACAACTAGTGCTGGTATGGGTAGATGGCGGGGGGAGAGCAGGGGCAAAGAGGGGATAAAGACTGGAGGTGGAAAGCGGTGAGAAGAGGTGGGGGAGGAGGGTGGTCAACTCAGCAAAACCACCCCCCCAGCGGCGCCCCCACTGCTGCGAGCGCCAATGGGATACTCACAACCAGTGCTGGATGGATGGATGGTGGGGGGAAAGGGAGGGAAGAGAGAGGGGGAAAGAAAGAGGGAAAAGAAACGCAGGAAGATGACAGGGAAGTGAGGGAGGAAGAGAATCAGGGTGTTGACTGATTCTCTTCAGGGCACAGCAAGCCACTCTCCCAGTGGCATGTAAGCTCACACCACAACAGGCCCCAACAGAATGCTCACATCACAAGCAGCGCTGTACTCACTCACTTACTGGTAAGTGCAACTAGTAGCTTACATGCTGCCATGCTGGTTGCGGGTTGGTGCAGGTCAGCAAGTAGGAAGGGGAGAGAGGCGTTGATGCTATTACTAGCATCCTACTTACTCACATTCTGCACAAAAGCTATTACTAGCTTACATGCTGCCATGCTGGTTGCGGGTTGGTGTAGGTCAGCAAGTAGGAAAGGCAGCGAAGCATTGATGACACTGGGTAAGGGAGGGATGGGATGGAATGGTAATTGAATGGATACTGTGGAATGGAATGTGATGAGGAGAGGGGAGGAAAACGAGACAGAGCAGGAGCAGTGTCGGAATTGCATGGGACGGTACAGGAAAGAAGTGCGGTACAGGGAGGTGCAGAGTGGTGGAAATGACAAGGGCACTGGACTGGAATGTTGGGTTGTAAGCCATGTGAAGCCAACTCTTGAAATGAACATCAGACACAGAGAAGAGAAGGGAATCAGACATGCAACATAGAACAATACGCACGGAGAAGGATAAATCATTGGTTGGAAAAGGCAAAACAAAGAAAGAAAGAAAGAAGGAAGAAAGAAAGAAAGAAAGAAAGAAAGAAAGAAAGAAAGAAAGAAAGAAAGAAAGAAAGAAAAAGAAAGAAAGAAAAAGAAAGAAAGAAAGAAAGAAAGAAAGAAAGAAAGAAAGAAAAAGGAACGAAACAGTACCTGACATGGTAACCAAACGAGAGGCCCCCACAGCAGGCGAAGAGAACAGGCAGAGCCACCCCCACCCCTCCGTATCTCCCCTTCCCCACCGCTCTCCTCCCCAACCCGTAGCTCCCTCCTCCCAATGCTTGGCCCCAAACCACGCCTTTCGATTCTTTCCTTAGACAAGAAAACGGCTCTGTAGCCGCTGCTGGTGGAACAGCAGCAGGCGACTCTTGGAGCAGAGTTAATGGGAGGGTTTCAGGAGAGTGAGGGTGTGCGAGTAGGGTCGGGGAGAGGAGGGCGTTGCGTGGAGCCAGGGGAGTGAGGCTGCGAGAATGAGCTTGTGGAAGGGACGATCCTCCTCGGGAATTGGCCCTCCATCGCCATTGGCTGGCAAACATGAGTGAGTGGGATGAGAGAGGGGAGGGGAAGGAGTGCGTGGAAATAGGGGGAGCGAGGCTGCGAGAATGAGCTTGTGGAACGGACGATCCTCCTCGGGAATTGGCTCTTCATCGCCATTGGCTGCCATTCATGCCCATCGAAACACCCATAGACCACACATCACCCACCCAGCATGCAACACATAGAAGTTCGATAAGCAAGAATGTTCATGCAACTCGCAAGGATCACACGGCCGAAAGTCATATATTCCGAATTCAGGGAAACTGCAGACTAAGCGGCGAACTTTGCCGCGACTAAGAAGTAGTCGTTGGGTTCGTACCGCCTTCCATTCTAATTGAATGGCTAATGGCTGTCGTTCTCTGTCTGGCGGCCACTGCAAATTCTCGACTGCCGCTGCTGCTCGAAGCGCTTGTTGCTTTATCGATGCTGCTCCCAGCGAGTACATTCCGCGGGTTGCCATGTTTCATGCTTCTGCTACAATCCTCAATCAGTGGTCTCCTTTTCTGCGAGATCCCTAATATCAGAAACAGCAAATGTCGCCTACGTGTCTCCGTTACGACCTACTTGTCACGGACTCGGGCTGAGGTCGCAGAACGAAAATCGAAATTACGTACTCCATTTAAGATGGAAACCTGGCACTATTTAAAAAAACTGGTTTAGTGTAGATAGGGCAAGATTGAAAACGTGTTGATCACTTGGATGGTAATCAAGCTTTCCTTTTGCGACTGCAGGGCCACCTCAAATGTCCCCTATCTCCTCCAATGACAATCCCTTGGTTTCAATTACCCAACAATAGATAAACGCCACGGACATCAAGCACACCGCGCCAAAGAAAAGGTACACCCCGCCGACCCCAACCACAGCTGTCGCAGGCAAAAAGAAGCATCCAACGAAAAAGTTGCACACCTGAAAAACAAAACAAATAAGCAAACAAACAAATAAAAACAAAACTTTAAAACTGTGTGGCAAAGCAGAACAAGAACGGTTAGAACAACAAGAAGCCAGGCAACGCCACCAAAGAAAAGGCCAACATGCATACCCAGTTAACGGCCATGCTGAATGCCACTCCTGCAGCCCGCACTTGCAGGGGGAATATCTCCGGCAGCAACAGGCTGGGAATGGGGCCAACCCCACAGGAGAATGCTGTCACATACCTGTAGTGATGTCATGATGGATAATGAATGGTGGAAAAGGGAGAGAGGTATTATCTGCTCTGGGAGCATGATGAGACACTAACAGGCTGGGGATGGGACCCACCCCACAGGAGAATGCTGTCATACCTGTAGTTATGTAATAGTAGAAAAAAAAAAGAATCTCTAAGACATAATTATTATTTCAGAAGGATTGGAAAGTGGCAAACAGTGGTAAAATGTGGAAGGGCGGAATCAAATTGGTCCTGGTGATGTGTTGAGGCATGTCACGGGGCATGATAGTATTGGGAACATGCCATGGTGCAAGCAATCAGAGACTATATTCATGTATCCCCCACCTTTGCAAAATTTAGCAGAACAAATGCAAGAATCATACGTGATTGTTCCGATAACGGAGAGAAGTGGCGCATGGGGTTGCAGGAGAGGCAAGGAGAGGACCGCCGAGAGAAACAGCATGGAGCATCCCTGAAGCATCCCCATTCATGGGTTGGGTGGGCGCTCAATGGGGCATAGCAGGCAGGGGAGGGGAGGGGAGGGGAGGGGAGAGGAAGGGGAGAGAAGTGGAGCATGAGGCTGCAAGAGAGGCAAGGACAGGACCGCCGAGAGAAAGAGCATGGAGCATCCCTGAAGCATCCCCATTGATGCACCATAAGAGCATCACATGGAGGTGAGGGAGGGTGAAGAGGTGAGGGGAAAGGAGGGGAGAGAGAGGCATTACATTACACTGCACTGCATTACACATGGTTGGTTGACCTGGCTCTGCTCTGCACCACATTACAATGCACTGCACCACACTGCACCTGTTTGAAGTTCACACAACTGAAAACTGAGGCATGGTTTGATTGACCTGGTGGTGGTGCTACTAGTGAGGACTTCACGCCCGCACGATCCAAAAAAAACTATCACCACCTGGCTCCGCTCTGCACCGCATTGCACTGCTCTGCACTTAACCGCACTGTATTGCCACTCACTGCACTGAACTGAAATGTACCGCACTGCCCCTCACTGCACTGCATTGCACCACCCTGAACTGAATCAAACCACACGTTTTTTCCATACCATGCCAAAAAAGGAAAGCAGCAGAAGGGGCTTCCTCCCTGCAGAGTCAACCAGATGCGCTGCCAGCAGCACAGCTGGTGAGGGGACGGAAAGAACAGAGAGGAATTGGAGAAACGACAGGAACGATCGGTGTCAAACGAGAGGAAGTGTTTGAAAGAGACAGGGGAGACGAAGAGGCTGAACAACCAAAGAGGCAGGAACAGCGATTCCGAAGGCCAAGGCTTTTGAGTTGATTAAAAGCAAAGTGGCTAGCAGATAGTGTTACCTGAGAGCTTGAAGAGTGCAATGAGGGCAGAGACAGCGATTCCGGAGGAAAATCCAGCAGAGCGGAAGACGTGAGAGGAGAAGTAGACAACAGCGTTGATTCCTGAGAACTGCTGCAGGGCGAAGAGGGCAGCGCCTAGCAGCAGCACTGTGAGAGGGCGAGCACATGAGGGAGGGGAGAGGGCCAGGATATGGTACGAAGATAACTTAAAACGTGCGTGAGAGGAGTAGTAGAACTGGTGCAGGGCAAAGAGAATGGTGCCTAGAAGCAGCACTGGAGGTGAGAAGGAGGAGGGAAGGGGGAAGCGGGAGGGAGGAGCTAAGGGGGAGGAAAAGGGAGGGAGAGTAGGGAATGGTTTGAGAGAGCTTAAAAGGAGGGCTGTGAGAAGGAACCTTCCTCCCCACCCCTCACCTCTTCCTCCCAAACCTCTCACTTTCCCCCCACCTCCTCACCTCCAAACCCCCTCACGTCCCCCCCACCGCCTCACCTCGCCGGTATCTTGGATGAAAGAGAGAGGCAGCAGGGGGGGAAGCCGGATCGTTGCTGTCAAGCAAAGGGGTGTGCAGGGTGGTGGAAACGCCTGTTGCATGATGCGCAGCAGCAGCAGCAGCAGCAGCAGTAGCAGCAGCAGCTGGTGATGATGTCTGTGTTTCTGATGCCTGCTTTGATGCAAGCACTGATGCTGACGAGTATGGGTGGGATGGCTTCAGTGTTGCATGTGGTGCCACGTGTGCTGGCTCTTTTGGTGGGTGTGCTGACGTGAGTGATGGAAGTGCTGACGTGAGCTCCTGTAACACTTCTTCCGCCCCCTCCGTTCCTCTCAGAATCACTGCTGCTCGCGCTGCTGCATGCATGCTGTGGTGCTGGTGAGCAAGGAGGGGAGAGGCAGAGAGCAAGAGGGGATGCACAGAGTTAGGACACACTGAGCGAAGGAGAGTAAGATTTAAAGCAGAAGTGCGGACACCACTGCAGGAATCAACAGTAATAGTAGCAGATACAGGTTGGTGTGTGCAGGGTTGAATGGATTTTTCCACATACCAGCAGCAGCCAGCGGGGTGTTTCTGGTGCGGCCAGTGCCATACCCAGCAGCAAGAGGCAGGGAGGGAGAGCGCCCAGGAGAAACATGCCCCGCCACCTGTAAAAAAAGGTGCAGAAACAGGAGTGCAGGGCAGAACATGGAGAGCCGAACTATCATGCACCTCGTGCACGGACCATGCCTCACGAGATGTGGTGTTACTCCAGAGGCAGGCCAGCCAGCAGCGCAGAGAGGACACCTGCGCTGGTGGATGACTGACTTGGGTGCGGTGCAATGCGGTGCTGTGAGCAAGGAAGCAGGGCATGGGTGGGTGAGATCACAAATATCTGTGCCTCACCAGGTGTGGTGTTGCTCCAGAGGCAAGCCAGCCAGCAGCGCAGAGAAGACGCCAGTGCTGGTGGAGAGCTGAGCCAACGTGCCCCACGTGCCGCGAGATGATGTGGGGGTTACCTGTGGTGGGAGCGGTGGGGTGCGGGGCAACAAGTCAAGGGGGTGGCACTGACGCAAGTAACGCAGAGAAGACCCCAGTGCTGGTGGAGAGCTGAGCCAACGTGCCCCACGTGCCTCGGGAGGAGGTGGGGGCTACCTGCAGTGTGGGGATAACGGGTGGGGGGAGAAGTTGGGAGGAAGAGGAAGACGGTAGGGTTAAGGGGGAGAAAGAGACGAGGAGATTTGAATGTATCCCACACGGTGCAAGAAGAGGTGGGGGGTGGGTGGAGTAAGAGGGTGGAGTAAGAAGGATGAATGGAAAGAATCGCAAATTATCTCAGCGGAGACTGGAAAAGTACCTCGGATGCAGGCAAAAGAGAAGTGAGTAGTGCATGGAAGAGGGCGTGTACTTAATGATTATGTAGAATAAAGAAAGGCTGCCTCAATCAGTACACCGGCTATGTAGAAATAAAGCAGGGAAACTCCACTGTACCTCGGATATGTACAGAGGAACAGTGCCAGATACGATTCCCAGGCCAACCCCAACCAGAGCTCGGCCAATCACCATGTGCCACGTGGCAGATGCTGCAGCACTGCGCTGCAGAGGGGTGGGTGGGTGGAAGGTAGTACGTTGAGATAGTGTGGTTCAATGCGGTTCGATGCAATACAATGATGTGTGAAGAGGAGCTATGATGTAAACATCTAGAAAGAAATAAGGAGTGGGACTAAGTGCAACGGAGGGTTTAATGAGAGCAGGGAATGGAGGGAGCGCAAGCTTTTGAGTCGACTCAAAAATGGAGGGAGCGCAAGAGGGAGCAGGGTTAGGTGATAACAACAGAATGTTTTCCTCCCACCCATGTTTTCCTCCCACCCATGTTTTCCTCCCACCCATGTTTTCCTCCCACCCATGTTTTCCTCCCACCCATGTTTTCCTCCCACCCATGTTTTCCTCCCACCCATGTTTTCCTCCCACCCATGTTTTCCTCCCACCCATTTTTTCCTCCCACCCATGTTTTCCTCCCACCCATGTTTTCCTCCCACCCATGTTTTCCTCCCACCCATGTTTTCTTCCCACCCATGTTTTCCTCCCACCCATGTTTTCCTCCCACCCATGTTTTCCTCCCACCCATGTTTTCCTCCCACCCATGTTTTCCTCCCACCCATGTTTTCCTCCCACCCATGTTTTCCTCCCACCCATGTTTTCCTCCCACCCATGTTTTCCTCCCACCCATGTTTTCCTCCCACCCATGTTTTCCTCCCACCCGTGTATTCCTCCCACCCATGTTTTCCTCCCACACATGTTTTCCTCCCACCATGTTTTCCTCCCACCCATGTTTTCCTCCCACCCATGTTTTCCTCCCACCCATGTTTTCCTCCCACCCGTGTATTCCTCCCACCCATGTTTTCCTCCCACCCATGTATTCCTCTCCCAACAACCCCAACCCTTTCCTTCCTCCCCTTCCACCCACTTACCACGCATGAACGTCCCCCACCACACACCTGAGCAGCGATCCAGCAATGAACGGCAGGGATGCAATCTGAAACGCCTGCCTCCTTTTGGGTCGAGTCAAAAGTAAAAAAGTTTACCACCCCGCACCTGAAGGTGCCCCACCCACCACACACCTGAGCAGCGATCCTGCAATGAACGGCAGGGCAGCGATCTGAAACGCCCGCCTCCTCCCTGCCACGTCAGCAAGCCAGCCACCCAGCGGTGCCCCCACCGCTGCCACCGCCAGTGGAATGCTCACAATCAGGGCTGCATGGAATGGTGGTGGGGGGAGAGTGGGGGCGAGGGGTAAGAAGGGGGTATATATAAAGAGTTGAGGCGTTGAAGGAGAGCGGCTGGCTCAGCAAGCCACCCTCCCAGCAGCGCTCCCAGCTGCTGCCACCGCCAGTGGAATGCTCACAATCAGTGCTGCATGGAAGGGTGGTGGGGTACAAGCGGGTGAATGGAGAGCGGAAGTGGGAGGGAGGTTTTAAGAATCAGGGTGTCGGCTCAGCAAGCCCTCCCCCCAGCGGCGCTCCCACTGCTGCCACCGCCAGTGAAGTGGAGTGCTCGCAATCAGTGCTGCATGGAAGGGTGGTGGATGAGAGGAAGGAACAGAAAATAACAGCCAGAAAAGCTGTCAACTCAGCAAGCTATGTAGGTAGGTATCTAGCAGAATCCTAATTACTCACAAATCGCAAAAGCTACTTCTAGCTTACATGCTGCCATGCTGGTTGCGGGTTGGTGCAGGTCAGCAAGAAAGAAGGGCAGAGACGCGTTGATGATACTGGTGAGGAAGGGAGGGGTGGAATGGGATTTGCATGGGATATAATACGGTGGTATGGGATGCAGTGGTATGTGGTAGAGGGGCGGAAGGGCAGAGACGCGTTGATGATACTGGGTGCGGCAGGGAGGAGATGGAATGGTGATTGCACGGGATACGGTGGTATGATATATGATGGTCACAACGGATAATGACCATTTGATATGTGATGGCAAGAAGGTACAATGACACTGGCGCAATGGCAGGGAACAGGATAGAAAATGGCATTGTTATGAGGGAACAGGTAATGGGTATGGTACAGAGAGGTGCAGAGTGGTGGGAACGACAAGGACACTGGAATGACGAGGATACACATTAGACACGAAATGAATAACATTATGCGCAGAGAAGGAAAAGATTATTTTAAGGAGAGAACAATAATCAATGAAACAGTACCTGACATGGTAACCAAACGAGAGAGCGCCACAGCAGGCGAAGAGAACAGGCAGCGCCACCCCCACCCCTCCATACCGTCCCTTCCCAACCCCTCTCCTCCCCAACCCGTAGCTCCCTCCTCCCAACACTCGGCTCCAAAACACCCCTTTCGATTTTTTCGTTAAACAAGACAAGGGCTCTTTAGCTGCTGGTGGTGGCACAGCGGCGGGTGAAGCTTGAAGCAGAGTCGATGCGAGGGTTTCAGGTGAGTGAGGGTGTGCGAGAGGAGTGGGAGAGAGAGGGGTGTGACGTGGAGGCAGCGGGAGCGAGGCTGCGAGAATGAGCTTGTGGAAGGGACGATCCTCCTCAGTGATTGGCTCTCCGTTGTCATTGGCTGCCATTCATGAGTGAGTGGGATGGGAGAGGGGAGAGAGTGCATGGAGGTAGGGAAAGAGAAGCAGCGAGAATAAGCTTGTGGAAGGGACGATCCTCCTTGGGAATTGGCTCTCTGTCGCCACTGGCTGGTATTACTGTATGCACCCATCATGCACCCATCCATTCATCATGCAACCATCCAGCATGCACCATGCAATCAACCTTCATGCAATCATCCATCATGTAACCATCCATCACGCAACCATCCATCATGCAACCATCCATCACACAACCATCCATCATGCAACCATCCATCCATCATGCAACCAACCATCCATCATGCAACCAACCATCTATCATGCAACCAACCATCCATCATGCAACCATCCATCATGCAACCATCCAGCATGCACCATGCAACCATCCATCACACAACCATCCATCATGCAACCAACCATCCATCATGCAACCAACCATCCATCATGCAACCAACCATCATGCAACCAACCATCATGCAATCAACCATCATGCAATCAACCATCATGCAATCAACCATCATGCAATCAACCATCATGCAATCAACCATCATGCAATCAACCATCCATCATGCAACCATTCACCATGCAACCATGGATCATGCAACCAACCATTGTGCACCCAGTCGTACCTAGATGCACACATCAACCCACCATTCAATGATCCATGCACTCATGCATTTTTTCCATTCAAAGTCCCACAATGCATCCATGCATGTATGCATCCGACAGCATACACAACAAATGGTCAAGCGAAAGTGCTCAGGGAGCTGGTAGGGATCACATGGCAAGAACCTTTATAATTTGGATCCAGGGATATAACAGATTAATCGGCGAACTGTGCAGTAATTAAAAAGTAGTCGTTGGGTCCTTACCTCCTCCCATTCCAATTGAATGGCTAACGGCCGTCATTCTCTGCCTCGCAGGCGCTGCAAATTCCCGACTGCTGCTGCTGCTCGAAGCGCCTCTCGCGTTATCGCTGCTGCTCCCAGCGAGTGCATCTCGAAATTTGCCATGTCTCATGCTTCAGTCACAATCCCCCCCTCAACAATCTCCCTTTTTTGCGATAGCCCTAATCTCAAACAAGTGTCGCCTACACGCGTGTTTCCTTGCGGCTCCGTTTTTGCTCGAGCTTTAAGGCAGGATTCGGGCTCACGTCACACAACGAACTTCGAATTCACGTAGCGTACTCGGTTGTACGTTGAATTGAGATATATCAGGCGGACTATGGCATTCGAGCCCGCACATCCCGGGAAAATGGACCCTAGGAAAGTGAGGTCGTCACATATCTGTGAACGCAGCAGATGTAAGTCCTCGCTGCAATCAGTCGCACTGCAGTATATCCGCTGTACGTGTACACTTCTCACTTTGTTCTGAAGCGTATTGTTCGCATGTGGCTTGCCGATAAACAAACCTAGGGCGGATTCTGGGCTCTGGTCAGAATTCTGGTCAAAAAACAGAAAAAGTTGAGACCCACAAGCACGGCTGACCAGAAGTTTGCCCAGACCCCTTTGATTTCAAATGTTTTTCGATCTTGATGCCCAGCTCAGAGACACGGTGTCTTCTTTGGCTTGATGGCATTCACACATCAGCAAATTTGGGGGAACGGGGTGCTGTGCCACGTGGGCCATCGCTCATCACGTAACGGACGCACGTGATAACTTCACTCTCTGGTTTGCCCAAATTCATATTCCAACATTTCCTCCCGAAATACAAAACTAATGGAAAACCCTAAGCGCTTGAAACATCCAAGCAGGTGGAGGAACTTGTGCGGGGCTGGTCAGACCCTAGGTGCACAATTTTCAGCGGGCAGGTGGACGAGAAGCAGTGCCACTGTAATGTAACTACCACCATAACCAACTCTCTGCTTTCTTCTAGAGTCCCAGTGGGGCAGTTCATCCGCAGCCTGGATATTCCAGCCACGCTAGCAAAACGCTCACGAAATATCCATCTCGTCACTGGATCACCCCAACTACGCAAGCAAAACGGTCACGACGAAATATCCACCCCATCGCTGAATCATCCCCCTCCACAAGATTACAGATCCTTGCTTTCGCAAGTCAAGGAATCACATCCTCCCGTCACACACTCCCCCACAACTTGCACTCTGAACCTCCTCGTGTGCTCCACCGTCATCACCTCCTCATCTGCCGCACAATGTGCACTGCACACCCAACGTAACTGCCACCGACCCTTACAGACCTTTGAAAAACCATCCTAACCGATCTCCTTGCTCTCCGCCTCGTCTGGCTCCCATCTGCACGCACGCATCTTTGCATTCCATTTCATTCCGCCCAGTTGCCCACTCTCGCAGGCAGCACATGCGTTTTCACGCACGCATCGGGCATGGTTGTGCCCAGGAGGATTCAGCAAGTCTTCCCATGAAAAGAAAGAGGGGGGGCTTTTCACGAGAGGAGGCTTGTTTCCCCTCCAATATCCAGATTCCACTTGCAAAACCAGCAGGCAGCAAGCAGTGACACTTCCGTCTTGACCCCTCCGTCCATTGCGCATCAGGGGCACGCTTGAGTCCAGAGGATACTGTACTGCAGGTCTTTTCGTGTGGAATAGGAGTTACAATAGGAGTCACAACACAACAAGACGGAGCCAGTTGCATCCATAGCCTAGCATGAGTTCTGGTCGAGCTGGAAGCGGAAGCAGCGGATGTACGGAGCTGGAAACTTTTCAAAACCATTTGAAATGGCTCAGCGCGATTGCCTGTGGCAATCACAGCTGCCACTGGTTAGCCGCTCGGACAAGCACGAGATCAAGATCAGCAGACGAGAGTCATCTTCAAAATCTTTAGTGAGACTGTTCCTCCACTGTTTGCTCGTCCTTGCTCCGCCGTCTCTTCACCGTTTAGTCAGCGAGAATTGCGCGAAGAACAAACGCCGCGCGAATGCGGGAGTCACCTGTCAGATGCCCCATCAACGTAGCTCGGTTCGAATCGGATTCGCTAAAAAACTTTCACTCAGCAGCAGAACCAGCCGCTAATCACCTCCCGTCTGCCTGACCCTAGGAAACACGTGATGCGCAGCGAGAGCTGATTTTTACGGTAGCAGTCAACCAATCAGAATGATCCCGTTAGCCAGGTCAATCCATGCCACCGACTGGCAGTAGACAGCACAGCAAAGCAGCACGCGACGCATTCCGTCTTTTGAGACGAGGGGCATGAGAGGCCTTTTTTATTTAGCGAGGAAAAGCACGCGACATAGCTTGACAGAATTCACCCCTCGCAGTATTCTCCAGTGAATCCGCTGCGGTACCGCAGAGGAGGGTTGACCTGACGTCGATGCTAGCAGTAATAGTACTCAGGTGCTTCTCGTACTTTGACCTGACGTCGTGCTCTTGTCGCGTTTGCTTCCCCGTCCTTTCGATACAAGTTAGCAGAATTCGCGGTTCCTGGATTGAGATTCCATCGTAAATGCTCAATGTATCCGTGATGAATCTGCTGAAGTACTGATACCTCCAGTACATGCTGCGTAGTACAGTTCATCGCAAGAACTCAGATCTCAGAAACCGTCGGTCGTCCGTCGATCGGTACTATGCATGGAGCCGTCTCGCGGCGACTTGCGGCTCGCGCTCCGCTCCGATCTCCGCCTTCGCCGCTCCGGCCGCTTGGCGGAGCGTCAGCACACCGTCAAAATTTTGGGTCGGACGTACGGGCAGCTGAAAAAACACTATCAGTTGGGGCCACAGCTCGGTTGCGGCGCGACGGGCTCGACGTACCTCACCCAGTGCTTGCGGCCCGGGCAGCATTACGGGCAGCTGTTCGCGTGCAAGTCGATCGAAAAAGCGCGGCTCGCAGAACCGGAAGATGTGGAGGCGGTTCGGAGGGAAGTGGCGGCAATGCAGGTGCTACAGGGCGCGCCGCAGGTGGTGCAACTGCACGACATTATCGAGGACGAGCAGGTATGGCTGGTGCTTTTCGCCAATGCTATTTGCCGATAATATTTATCGCCAACGTTTATTTGCGATTTTTTTGCCTAAACTCTCCCTTTTCCCCGATTCAATTTCCCTCTCCCACCTCCCGCGGGGCATTCAACCCTGCGGATTCGCCACGTCGCAGGCCGTCCACGTCATCACGGAGCTATGCGAAGGAGGCGACCTGTTTAATCTCCTTCTAATCAACGGCCGATTCCCGGAGCGCACGGTGTCGCACGTGGTTAAGACGGTCGCAGAGGCGCTCGTTGCCTTCGAGCGCGTCGGTCTCGTGCATAGAGACTTGAAGCTCGAAAACATCTTCGTTTCTGAGATTGCTAGCACAGGAATCACATTCTCCGCGAAAAGCCGCGGCGAAAGATCTGGCGACGACGGTTCTCACGGCAACGCTACTCAGTGTGTTCTTTCCGCTGACACACACAGCGCTTCAGACGGCGCGAAACGTGTCGATTCCAAAGGCGCCTGCACTGGCGCTGCCGCCAGCGGCTTGGCTATTGATATCAGCGGTTCCAGCAGCTTGTGCGCAAGCCCTAGCATGCGCAACAATCAATTCTCGAGTCGTACTGCTAAACATGACAACAATAGGAGCGGCAGCTTCGGCAGCAGCGGCAGCAGCAGCAGCAGCAGCGGCGGTGGCGGTAGCAGCGGTGGCGGCAAAATCGCCGCTAATCACGCTCAACTCAGCAGCTTCCGAATAAATGAATCGTCGACTAATAGCAACTTCAGCGCATGTGACGGCGGCAGTTGTGACAGTTGCTGTTACTGTCGCACGACTGGCGTCGCGAATAATGGTAACGACTCTTCGCCTGCCGACCTCACTGGACCGTTCTTTGGTATGCCTGCGAAATCCGCAGCTGCGAATATAGTTGAGGCATCCAGCGGCGAGAGGCGGCGAAGTGCAGCACCTATCAGCGTTCGCATTGGCGATTTTGGGGTGTCCGCGTTCGTTAAGCCTGGCGAAAAGCTTTATTCGGTAACAGGGAGTCCATATTATGTAGCTCCCGAAGTTCTGGAAAACTCCTACGGAGCCGAAGCTGATGTTTGGAGCCTAGGGATTGTCGCGTACATGCTACTGTGCGGTTACCCGCCTTTTTACGCCGACGAACCCGATGTCATTTTTGAAAAGGTGATGGCTGGTGGGGATGCTGACGTGTCGCATGGTCCGTGGAGATTGATTTCCGGGCAGGCGAAGAATCTTGTGGCAAGGCTGCTGGACAGAGATCCTTCAAAACGGATAAGGCCATCTGAGATCCTCGGTAAGACAAAAATCTTATTATCCGTTTTTGTCAGTGTTCACCTGGTAAGCTGTTTGTTCTGTCCCTCCCATTTCAAAAGCTCCTAACCAGACTTGTTACTTTTTGCCCCTGCCATATGATTCTTCCTCTCCAGGGCACCCATGGGTGGTCAGGTATACATCAGCTGCAACACATTCAACTGCAGCACATTCAACTGCAGCACATTCAGCAAAGACGGCGGCAGCAACTGCAGACGGAGCCGCAGCAGCTGCTGCAGCAGCAGCAGTTGTTCCTGTTCCGCATAGACCCTCCATCAAGCCTCCTAAACCACTCTCCATCCAGCTGACCACTCACCACTTGCCACATGATTCGCCACGTCAGCATTCTGTAATCTCGCCAAGCCACAAGCCAGCGAAATCGCAACATTTGCAGTTGTGCACATTACCACACCAGAACCCCCTCAGCAAGCCACGTCATCAGGTTCAGGGGCCAGTTGATCTTTCCCATCCCTCTGTCAACGCCCCCCATCCCTCGGTCAACTCTCCTCGTCCCTCGGTCAACTCTCCTCGTCCTTCAGTCAACCCTTTCCGACCCTCAGTCAATTCTCCCCAAGCCTCAGTCAACTCTCCCCAAGCCTCGGTCAACTCTCCCCAAGCCTCAGTCAACTCTCCCCGGACCTCAGTCAACTCTCCACGGACCTTGGTCAACTCTTCCCGGAACTCAGTCACCTCTCCCCAGGCCTCAGTCAACTCTTCCCGCACCTCGATCAACGCTCCCCGGGCATCAGTCAACTCTCCTCAGGCCCCAGTCAACTCTTCCCGAGCCTCAGTCAACTCTCCCCGACCCTCAGTCAATTCCCCTCGCCCTTCAGTCCACACCTCCCGCCCATCAGTCAACTCCCCCCACCCATCAGTCAACCCGAAACCAGGGGGGGTAAGCTGTAATGGAGGAGGAGGGAAAAAGAGTGGAAGGGGAAATAAGCGAGGCGGGTGGAATAAAGGAAACTGCACTGGAGACGATAATCTGAGCCCAAAGTCTAATGCACAGGCTGATATACAGCCTGATTCGACAGCCGAATTCTGTATTGAAATACCTAAAAGGGCAGGAGCAGAAATAGCATCTACATGGAGGGCAGAATCATCATCATCAGCAGCAGCAGCAGCAGCAGCAGCAGGAGGAGCAGGAGCAGCAGCAGCAGCAGGAGGAGGAGGAGGAGGAGGAGGAGGAGGAGGAGGAGGAGGAGGAGGAGGAGGAGGAGGAGGAGGAGGAGGAGGAGGAGGAGGAGGAGGAGGAGGAGGAGGAGGAGGAGGAGGAGGAGGAGGAGGAGGAGCAGGAGCAGCAGGAGGAGCAGGAGCAAGAGCATGGCCAGGAAAGAGGGCAGGAGCAGCAGGAGCAGGAGCAGGGGCTGCAGGGAGGGCAGGAGCAAGCACAGGAACAGCAGCAGCAGGAGCAGGAACAGCAGGGAGGGCAGGGCCAAGAGCAGCAGCGAGAGCAGGACCTGGAGCAGGAGCAGCAGCAGAAGTCCCTCCCGATTGGCCATTCCTGAGATCTGCTTCCGACAGGGCTGCCATGCAACATCATCAGAGTAGCCGTCTTTCCAGAGCCTTCCGCAAGTCAGCTTCCATGCCTGTCGAAAGAATTCCCCACGGCTCTAGGGCGCGCTCCGACCCTCTGAAACCGCGACTGGAATCGACACTGGGGTCGATTCAAAAGCTCTTCACGGATGCAGCTAGAGCTCAAGAGGACCCTCCAATGCTCCCCACCAACTCCACTCCTGAGATGTCTCAAAGATCCTCCATGGATGCGAAGATGGATGAGAGTATGCCGTCCAAGTTACCCGAACTGGCTCATTGCTCTGCAGTTGAAGCTGCCAGAAGCTCCTCTGTTAGACCTCCTTCTGAAACGGTTCTGAACTCTGACGTTCGCGAAGTCAGGAAGGCTCATACATCCACCCAGGTCCCCTCTGGTGCATCCAGTGCCCTGCCAGTCCTTGCCCAGGCTGTATCCACGGCCACGCCTACTGGTATCCTCAGTGCTAGACAGGGTGCCACCAGGTCAACCCTACTTGATAAGAAGGCAGCACCAAAACCGCCCAAGTCCAATCTGCACCACTTGCACACCTCCTCGCATTGTCTGCCTGATACTGCATCACTGGAGCAATCAGAAGCACCCTCCTCCGAAATGCTTGCAGAGAAGACTCTTGTTAGTGGAAGGGGGAAGTTGATGCGCGATGTGATTGTAATGAAAGGGCCGTCTCTAAAGAGGAGTGTGCATCAAGCAGAGGAAGCGGCGAATAAAAAAGATGTGAAGGAGACTATTTCTGGGAATCCCGGCTTGAATCTACTTGATGCAAACTCCAAGGGGTCTGCTGGGCTTTCTGTGCCTGGAGCTGCTAGGGTTGTTTCAGCTGATTCTGCTGCTGCTGCTGCCGCTGCTGTTGCTGCTGCTGCTGCTGCTGCTGCAAGTGCTGCCGAATTTGCTGCTTGTGCTTCTGATGTTGGCTTCCTTTCAAGCACAATCCGCCCAAGACATCACAGTTCCCCGTCCCTGGAATCCAGGTCGGTTGCTCGCAGCTCCTCCCTCACTCTGATTCCAACTGCATTTTCAGCCTCCCCGTGTCACTCTCGTAGCCGCTCCAGATGCAGTCTTGAACTAGACTCATCGGACTTTCATACAATGTCCAGCATCATTGCTGCCTAATACCGGTATTGCCAACAGACATATACCTATATAAATGGTTTTTCTGATGTTTGTGACTTCCTCATCAAGTTTAGCCACCTAATAGACTGAGTTCTTATGGATTGAATTTTGTGATTAGTAATATTTTCCTCATTTTGAGAACGTTGTGATGAAGAGTGTTTCTTTCACTGTGCGGAAATCCAGTCACGCGGCAAATACGGTATCCTCGCTATGAGATGAGAACCCATTGTTCCCCATTTCTGTTAGCGGCAAAGCCAGGAATTATCGCCACTTTCCACGCCTTACCATGGGCATTCCCGTTACAGAGCACCGCGATTTTGCTACAACGTCGCCACCGCATTGCGCGGCAGTGCCGCACATCTGGTCTCGCTTCGTCGACGCTTTCGTTGATTTCGCCGTCGGCGGCCACGTGCTCGCGGGGCGTGCGAAGGATTCGCCACGGTGGACTCGGCAATCAGGAGCTTTCGATCCTGCCACTGACCAATCAGGAACTTCAAATGTCGACAGAGCCGCGAAACCTGAGGGTTCGGAGGCGTCTGGGACCAGGGACCAGGAGACAATTTCCGTCAACCAGACGGAATCCGTCAGTCCTGGGGACACCGACGGGCCGCCTCCGTTAGCGACGGTGCTTCCGGCCGCGGATCGCGTGGTGGCAATCGGCGATATTCACGGCGACATCGCCAAAGCGAGGCAGGCGCTTCGCACGGCAGGGCTGATCGACGGCCAGGATCGCTGGACAGGCAAATCAACGGTTCTCGTGCAGGTTGGGGATCTTCTAGATCGGGGAGGGCAGGAACTAGCCGTTGTCTACCTTTTTGAGAAATTAAGGCGGGAAGCGAGGCAGGCTGGAGGCGCGGTGCACGTGTTACTTGGTAACCACGAGACAGGAAATTTCGAGGGCTGGTTTCGTTATGCAACCAGAGAGGGCAGGAAAGATTTTCAGAGATGGGCGGCCTGGGAGAGGCTGGGGGTTGGTTTGCGGGCAGCTTGTGAGGGAGGTAGGGTTTCTCCCGACCCTCTAGCTTCGGTTTCTGAGCGTGTGCGGCCTGAGCTTCGTGCACGTATGGCAGCATTATCTCCGGGCAGCCCACTCCTGCAGCGTTTTTTTGCGGGCAACCCGAGCGTACTCCGGCTGGGCAGCACAGTTTTTGTGCACGGGGGACTGCTGCCCGAGCACGTGCAGTACGGTCTGGAGCGGATCAATCGAGAGGGGCAGGAATGGATACTTTCACCTGCCCGGCGGCCGGACGGGCTGCCCGAACGCGGGCCACATTTTTTCCACACGAAAAACGCGGTCGTGTGGGTTCGAGAATACTCACACACCGACCCTTCGATCTGCGATTGCAGGCTGCTGGAACGGACGCTCGAGATGCTCCCAGGCTCGATGCGAATGGTTATGGGCCACACGATTCAGCAGCCGGGCGGGATCAACGCTACTTGTAAAGGGAAGGCTATTAGAGTGGATGTGGGGATGTCAGAGGGGTGCGGAGGGGCAGAGGCAGAAGTTTTGGAGATTCGGAAGGATAGAGAGGTGTGGGTGGTGCGGGCAGCAGAGGAAGCTGCTGGGAAGCCGGCAAAGGCGCATGTGCTGGCCGGGACTGAAGTGCCTGCGGATAAGCATGGGTTCTGGGGGAAGCTGAGGGAGGCCATGGGGACAAGAGTGGCGTGATGGACGAAAGTGGTTCATCTGCACTGCATTTGGGTGGTTCAAACAGCGTTTGAAGCAGCAAGCAAGCCTGCTTTACTGATGTGTGGGACTTGTTGTGTTGTGTGCAGCAGGCTTAAGGATGCAATCAGAACAAGAGTGTACCCATAATACTGGAATACAGTAATATTTTCTGAAAATACAGCCCTTTCCAGCCAGGATGAGTCTGCACTGACTTGGACATCTTTCTACCCATGCGCTACTGGTTATGTTTTTAGACTCCATTTCCACTAAAACCACTTGCCCGCTGCCTCCTGTTGCTGCTAGACTGACTGCTTTGGCTAGCTTGATTTGCTTGACTGGCTCCATTTGCACTCCTCGTGCTCCCATTTGCACTTTCACTCCCCGTAGCTGCCGTAACCCCTCCGGTTCCGCGCAACAAATTCAGCAGCTGCGTCATTGTTGCAAAGAACAGGCTCGATTGGAAATCTGGGTCGAAAAACGAGGTAAGGGATAACCCTCCCCCAGAAGAGCCTCCCCCGGTGCTGCTGGGGGTGCCACTGCCCAGCTGGATTGGCATGGGGACTGCCGGATCTGATGCTGACGTGGCAGCTTGAACAAGCGTGTTCACGATTTGGCTTTGGATATAGGCAGCAGGAGGTGGGGGGGAGGCGGGAGGGAGAGAAGGCGAGAGTTGGGGGAAAGTAGAGGAGACAGTGCGAGGAAGGGAGGTTGGAGTTGTGGGAGTGAGGGGGCTGTTTGATCGGAGGGAAGCTGTTGCTGCAGGTGAGACAGTGCGAGGTGAAGTTAGTGTCGTGTTTGAGGCGTTTGCACAAGAGCCTGCAGAGAGGCAGAACGGATAAAATGATTAGGGGATGAGCCAGCAGGCAACTGGAAACAAGAGGAGCAAAGGCAGGAGCAGTCCGTTTCCAAAGGCAAACGAGGAGTTATGGGTGAAATACGTACTGGCCAGTGTTATCAGCAGAGCGCAAAGGATCAATGCTCGCCAGGCAACAAGCGTATTGAAGAAGCCTTTTCCAGCCATAGTCAATGGAGTGCTCCCTGAGAGAATCAGGGGTGCTGGGAGGTGCTGCGGGCTTAGAGGAATGCTGAGGGCCTCTTGCAATCCCTGGTCCTTGTTCAATATGCCAAAAAAGTAACTGAACAATTGGAGAGGCGAGTTCGTCTGCTGACGCCGATAGAACCTGCACAGCCAGTATGGCAAATAAGTAGGGTTGTTGACGGCTGGAAGGACATGAACGCGGAAGCGGTAGGTTGTACTTTCGAAACAGGAGCTCCAGGAAGCAGGTCGCTGTCACTGTCACTGACACTGTCACTGCCTGTCACGAAACGTCGATACTTCTTATCCTAGGGTTAGCCTGACAGCTACGGCTCCTCGGTCGCTTTCTGTGTCCCTTGCGACTGTGCACGACGGAATGCGAAACCGTGAGCCGTGAATCCATGTTCTTGATTGGCAGAGCACAAGTCATTTGCTGTCGCTCGCTGGACAACGACGGAAAATTTCTGGTTCGAAACATTCGTCTGATTGTAACAGCGAGGCTTCCAACCGTGCAGCTGACATCTGGGCCGTCACCATCCGAGCCACCAAGAAATTGACATTCCAGATCTCCTTTCTGGTCGTGCCTAGGAATAGTCGGCAAGACAGTCCAGCCAAGCACAGATTCAGGATGCTTGTCACGTCTTGAACTTGCCGCGACAACGACTGTCGTGAAGAGAAGACGACAAAGATTGTCAGCATGCAGCTGCATAAAGGATAATCCAGCACACTCATAGATAGAGAAGCCTTATGAGGGAGAGTACTAGGATGTGACAGGAATTGGGAGCCATGGCATGATGATCCGTTCGGGTCGACCAGGCAGGGGAACTCGACTGTTGTGTCCTCTCTTTGAATCTAGGTGCCACGTTTCAGTGGATTGCGTACATGCGTAGAAAAGGTTCTCAATAAAGCTCGGTTATGTGAGTTTCCCACAATTTTTATCTCGGATCATTTCAGCATAATTATATGATGGTCAATGTGAATACAGCTTAAATTCAGTACTGTAGATTTCGCCTAGACACGATTGATGTCATGCATACATGCATCCATACAAGCAGATGCTATCAGAATTATAGAGCCCCCCAATGTTGCAATTACCACTTCAGATATGGCATTATGAACATCAGAAACAGTTTGCAGCTTTAGCGCAGGAAATCAAGTACGGTACTTTTTACACATTCATCAACAACCTTATGATGCATTCCCCTTCTGAGAACGGCTCCTTCTGCTGGCTAGGCTACTCAAACTCGCCCGACTGGCTCTACTCTGCCTGCTATGCTCACTAGCTCTTGCACCCCCATTTTCACCACTAGAGCCTGAACCGCCCCCCACAACCACAACACCTGCACCACCGCCACTCGCCAACGTGTTCCCAATCTGAGGCAGATCCACATTGCCGAACCGAACACCAGCCCTGCTTATCAGGCTGCTCAATGTTGGGTCGTTCAATAAAACAGCTATCAGCTCCAGGGCGAGCTGATAAACAGCTTCAGCGGAGGTGGGGGTGGAGGAGGCGGTGGAGGTGGCAGGAATGGTGGATAAAGGAGTGTTCAGAGGAGTGGACGTTGTAGCAATTCTGTTGTTCAACACGCGGCGATGCTGTTGTTGGTAACCTTGTTGAGCAGTTTCAGCGACGGAATCAAATGAACCGCTGTTTTTCCAACCTGAAACATTTGACACTGCATAGCAAACATGGAAAAAAAGGGTTGGGAAGAAGTGAGACAACGGTCTATGAGACAGGTTAACGCTGGTGCAACAACCAATAGGGGGGGAATAATACAAGGGGATGAGAGATGAGTAATCGGAAGGAGACGAGTGAATCGGAAAGATGAGACCAAGAGACGATTGAGGAGAGTCCCCATACCTGAAAGAAGGATCAGAATGCAGCAGGCGAAGAGGCGCATCAGCAACGCCATCTCAGTTTCTGGCAGCAGGCGAAGAGGCCACGTGAGCACTTTAGGAACTTATGTCAGTTTCCTCAATTGCTCGCTGAATTGCAACGGCCGCACAATGCAGTAGCAAACACGGTGAATATACCGTAGCAAATGTGAAAGACGCATGTGTGTCTCATTCACCGATCACATTTATATGAAAGATACAGGAACATGAGACTCTGGGAGTAAGTTTGTCCTTTCGAAGGCCCACCTGCACTGGTTCCCACGAACTGTGACAGACACTGACAGGTGGGTGAAGAGCCAAACCTTTCCACATCATCCTCATCCGTTTTCACGTCTGCATCCCCATCCACATCCACATCGGAAATGTCCACATAATTCAAAATCACATATCTGTCCCGTCAACAGTCGCGCAAAAGCCGCCGTCCCTCCATGGGTAGAAACAATCTGCAGGCGCAGGATAGCTTCCATGGTGGGTGGGAGGGTCGAACTTTGAAAAGATCTTTTCGAAAGCGCAGCTTCGGATGGTCCATGGTGGATCCCGACGCTATGACTGGCAGACTCGGATTCGTCGTCGTGCTTTGCACGCGTTACAAGCAGACGATGATCCCATGGACAATAGGCACTACTTTCGAACTGGAAAGAGACATTCCGACAGTGACCCAGATCCGATCGGTCGCTACGAGGCGTGGCATCATCCGCCTGGGTCCTTCAAATCAGCCACATGGCAGACGTCGCATCGAGAAAAACAGCTCTAATGGTGTGCTCTGCATGTCTCTAATCAGCGCCTCTCTCTAGCCTTGCTTTCTAGCTGGTGACTACTTGTCTGTGAGTGATGTGACCAGCCTTGGTTATGGCTGCCGGAGGGTTGGGAATGACCAAACTGTATCATGGAAAACCACTCGATATTCATACTCGCTATCAACTCAGTCATACTTGAAAGAAACATGTACGTAACCATGAAATGTTTATTCAAAAATTTCCATTTAGAACAGCCTTAGAAGTAAAACTAGCCACGCACGATATAAAATGGAATGCTAAATGCTGCAGGACAGAACTCAATAACTTACCATTGTTATTACCAATCTGAGCAAATCCCTTCCAAATTGTCAAAACTTATAACTATGCCACCTTTGCTAAAATCATATGGTTGTTACGGAGAAGCCCGTATCCTCTACTCATATTCTGCGACATCACAGCCCAACACGTTGCACTATGCACTAAAGTACTTCTTGTCTTCCTTAGCCAAACCCAAATAGCTGCGTATCGAGCGATGCTAAGCCAATGAATCGAATATTTGTCAGCCTGTCCAGAGCACCACGCCCGTCTCCTGCCTCGATATTACTCCTCCTTGCTTTTCTTCAACATCGTGCCTGTGGATGGTCGTCAGCTACTCCTCGTAACAGCGAGTGCAGTGGCAGCCTCAGGTCCAGAGCAGCACTAGCGCTGCAACATGCCCTTCCCCCGCGTTTCACACCTATCACGGAGGCAGCATTCCTAAAGCAGCCTCAATGTCATGCATGTGGATGGTCATGAGCTGCTCCTCACAGCAGCAGTCGAGGGGCAGCCGCAGGTGCAGATGGTTCCAAGGATCCAGCAGCACCGTTCCACATGTATTTTCCCCTCTCCCTACCTTCCTCCACTCACACAACCACCAGCCACCTATCGCACCCATCATGGTGGCAGCATCCCCAGAGCAGCTTCAATATTGTGCATGTCGATGGTCATGAGCTGCTCCTCACAGCAGCAGTCCAGAGGCAGCCGCAGGTCCATAAAGCAGCACTGGCACTGCAACCACCGCCGCTCATCCTCCCCCACATTCCCTTATCACGCGCCTGTCATGGTGGCAGCATCCCCAGAGCAGTCTCAATGTCATGCATGTGGATGGTCATCAACTCGTCTGCACAGCAGCAGTCCAGGGGAAGCCGCAGGTCCAGATGGTCCCGGGCATCCAGCAGCACCGGCACCGCCATGCCTCCAATTCCCCTCCGTACCTGTCTGTCACGGTGGCAGCATCCCCAAGGCAGCTTCAATGTCATGCATGTGGATGGTCATCAGCTCCTCCGCACAGCAACAGTCGAGGGGAAGCCTCAAGTCTAGATGGTCCCACGCGTCCAGCAGCACTGGCACTGCCATGCCTCCGCTCCTCCTGCTTCCTCCTTTCCCAGCACCCAATCTCCCCAATCAAGGCGGTAACATCTCTAAGGCAGCTTCAATGTCGTGCATGTGGATGGTCATTAGCTCCTCCTCACAGCAGCAGTCCAGAGGCAGCCGCAGGTCCAGATGGTCCCGGGCATCCAGCAGCACAGGCACCAAGCTGCCACCACCAGTCGCCTCTTCCTTCCTCCCTCCCTCCCTCCCGCTTTTCATGCTTATCATGGTGGCAGCATCCCTAATGCAGCTTCAATGTCATGCATGTGGATGGTCATGAGCTCCTCTGCACAGCAGCAGTCGAGGGGAAGCCTCAAGTCCAGATGGTCCCGGGCATCCAGCAGCACAGGCACTGCCATGCCGCCGTTTCTCTCCCTGCGCTGCTTCGCTGTCGTGTGTGCAATTATCGCCTCTGCCAACGCTTCTTCCGAGCACGAAGGGTGCAGCCTGGAGGAGGATAAAAGGGGTGGAAGGAATGGAAAGGGATGAAAAGAGGTGGCATGGGGCGATTCAAGAAGCCGCAGGTCCAGATGGTCCCGGGCGTCCAGCAGCACCGGCACCGCCATGCCTCCATTCCTCTCCCTGCGCTGCTTCGCTGTCGTGTGTGCTATGATCGCCTCTGCCAACGCCTCCTCTGAACACGATGGGTGCAGCCTGGGAGAAAACGGGCGGTGGGACAGGGTGGAAAGGGTATGGAAAGGAAAGGAAGTGGTGAGTAAAAGGGGAGAGAACGGGTGGAAAGGGGTGGATTATATAGAAGCTACCACCCCTGTGCGTCCAGCAGCACAGGCACTGCCATGCCGCCGTTTCTCTCCCTGCGCTGCTTTGCTGTCGTGTGTGCAATTATAGCTTCTGCCAACGCCTCCTCTGAGCATGACGGGTGCAGTCTGTGGGGCAGGGGTGGGGGGAGGTTGATGGAGAGGATGGAAAGCAGTAGAAAAAGGAGGGAAATGGAGTGAAAAAGGGTGAAAAGGGGTGAAAGAAAGAAGCCACCGCCATTCCCCGACCGTCCGGCAGCACCGGCACCGCCATGCCTCCGTTCCTCTCTTTACGCTGCTTTGCTGTAGTGTGTGCCTCTGACTGCCTCTGCCAACGCCTCCTCTGAACATGACGGGTGCATCCTGGGGGACAGAAAAGGGGTTGGAAGGAATGGAAAGGGGTGAATGAAAGAAGCCACCACCATTGTGCATCCAGCAGCACAGGCACCGCCATGCCTCCATTCCTCTCCCGCCACTGCTTCGCTGTCATGTGTGCTATAATCGCCTCTGCCAACGCCTCCACTTCTGAGCATGATGGGTGCAGCCTGGAGGAGAAAGGGGGCGTGAGAAGGGATGTCAGGGAGATGGAAAGGGATGGAAAGGAGTGGTAAGGCGTGGAAAGGGGTGGAATACATAGAAGCTAGCACCACAGTGCATCCAGCAGCACCAGCACAGCCATGCCGCCGTTCCTCTCCCCTGCTTTGCTGTCGTGTGCGCTATGATTGCCTCTGCCAATGCCTCTTTTGAACACGACGGATGCAGCCTGAACCAATCAGATGGGCTCACCTGAAACCAGTGAGGGGAGACATATCCGTGTCATCTCCACCTTCACTCACTCCCTCCTTGCTCCCACTCCCACTGCCGATGCCACTGCCAGTGCTTCCATCTACATACCCCACTCCACTATCACTTTTTCCGCCCACTATCACTTCAACTGGCCGCCTCCCCGCTTCCACTCCTTGTAGCTGCTTTTCCAACACATCACCTACACAGGATACACTCCCTCCTCCTCCTTTCAACCCATCTCCACTGTTCCCAGCGCCAGCATCCGAAGCAGCACAGCTGCTGCAGTTACCACAGTGGCCATGCTCGTTACAGTCACATGCCGTGCTCCTGAGGTTACCCAGGCTACTGCACTCCTCGTCCTGCCCTGTCCCCTTCTTTTGACCCGCCCCTCCTTCCTGCTGCTTTCCCTGCGGTGTCGTCTCCTCCCCCCTTCGTTCCTCCAGTTGCACCCTCACTACTTGATGCGTCTGCTCCATCCGCCCCACCAACAAACCTCCCTCGTGCCGAGTCCTCCTCCACAGTATGAAGATTCCCAAAACGCGCTTTCTCCTCACCATCCCGCCTCCCCTGCTCCCCGACCTGAGCACCCAACCTCCCCTGCTCCCCGACCTGAGCACCCAACCTCCCCTGCTCCCCGACCTGAGCACCCAACCTCCCCTGCTCCCCGACCTGAGCACCCAACCTCCCCTGCTCCCCGACCTGAGCACCCAACCTCCCCTGCTCCCCGACCTGAGCACCCAACCTCCCCTGCTCCCCGACCTGAGCACCCAACCTCCCCTGCTCCCCGACCTGAGCACCCAACCTCCCCTGCTCCCCGACCTGAGCACCCAACCTCCCCTGCTCCCCGACCTGAGCACCCAACCTCCCCTGCTCCCCGACCTGAGCACCCAACCTCCCCTGCTCCTCCCTCTGAACATCCCTCGTCTCCTGCTCCCTCCTCTGACCATACCCCATCTTCAGCAGCATAACCCTCGCAATCTCCCTCGGGCTCAAATCATCAAAAGTAAAACACTTCGTCACCCTCCTCTTAAACCCCTCATTAGCCTCGAAAACCCGCTGCATCGGCTCGGCATACCCCGCAAAAATCACCACCAGTTTCCCCGAATCCATCACAGTCATAATCTCCTCCAAAGCCTCTATCCCATAATCCTTCTCCTCACTCCTCTGACACGGCATGAGCCTATAAGCCTCATCTACAAACAATATCCCTCCCTCTGCTTCCTCAATCTTTCTCCTCGTTTTCGGACCCGTATGCCCCACATATTCCCCTACCAGGTCCGTTCTTTGCACCTCTATGACCTTATTCAAGGGTAAAACACCCACCAGCGCCAGCATCCGGGCAAGCACCCGCGCCACGGTTGTTTTTCCGGTGCCCGGGCTGCCCAAAAAAGCCATGTGTGGGGCGCGGCGGGGAGGCACGGGCAGCCCAAGTGCCCGGCGCCTTTGGTCTAGTAGGAGACCCTTTCCCCATGTCCTTAGCTGCTGCTTTAACGAGTGGAGGCCTACTAACGAGGATAGCTCCTTTTCAAGCTGATCCATTACCAGCTTTGCTCCGTGCACGGCCAATTCAGCCTGTAAGAGTGGGAGGAAATCACGGAAAAAATAAAGAGAGAACATTTAATTGTTGCAATAGCCCAGAAGTATGTTCCATGTAACACGAACAAACCTTATCCAGACATGCCCACCATACCTGCAGCCTTGTTCGCCTGCTGATGTGTCGCTGCAGCAGAGCCTGCACCTCCCGACACACAGAGCACCGCGCGGCTCTGCTGGGAAGCAGCGCCATTGGAGTGTTGCCGTCCTGATGGGCATTGGTATGGGGGGGGCCAAGGGGGTGAGGGGAGGGAAGAGGTATGAGCACATGAGTGTGTCGCTGCAGCAGAGCCTGCACCTCACGACACACAGAGCACCGCGCGGCTCGGCTGGGAAGCAGCTCCATGGGCGTATTGCTGTCCTGATGGGCATTGGGGGGGGCAGCACGAGGAGACGAGACATGAGCGAAAGATACGTGAGGAGGGACGAAAATGAGCGAAAGAACTTCCTGTTGGCGTGGAGAGGAGGGACGAAAATGAGCGAAAGAACTTCCTGTTGGCGTGGAGAGGAGGGACGAAAATGGGGGGAGGCAAAGGGAGACGAGGAGAAGTGAGGCGAAGAAAAGGGAGGCGAGGAGAAGTGAGGCGAAGAAAAGGGAGGCGAGGAGACGAGAGGCGAGGACAAGAGAGGAGAGGAGAAGAAAGGAGAGCACACGAATGTGCATCTGCAGCAGCATCTGTACCCTACCGACACTAGGAGCACCGCATGGATCACCTGGAAAGCAGCGCCATAAGTGTGCTACCATCCTGAACCGTTCTTGACCCCTTTGTATCGCACTGAACCGTACCTTATCCACACCACACGGGTCTGCATTGGCTTCTAGCAGAAGCACCGCCACCGCTGCCACCACTCCCTCACGACACTCCCTGATATCCCCATCCCTCGTTGCACGAGCAGCATCAACACCACCAGCAGAAGCGGCACCAGCGGCAATAGCACCAACACCAACACTAACACCACCGCCTGCAGCAGCACCAGCAGCAGCACCAGCAGCAGCAGCAGGCAGAGAATCGAAACTGGTGGGCGACGCGGGTGTGGGTGGCGGGCAGGTGGGAAAGGCAGAACCACAGAGGCTGGGGGAAAGCAGTCGAGGGGAGAGGGGCTGGGGGGAGAGCGGACGAGGGGAGCAGGGGGAGAGTGGTTGGGGGGAGAGCTCCCCTGGAGAGAGTGGTTGGGGGGAGAGCTCCCGTTGAGCGTGGAGCAGTGGAGCTGGTTTGGAGGGAGATACTGCTGGGTCCGCATGATGCATCAAGTGCTGCTGCTGCTGCTGCTTCTGCTGGTGATCCAGGTACCCGTTCAGGTGCTTTTTCTGATCCTGGTGTTGCTTCAGGTGCTGATGCTGCTGTTGCTGCCGGCTTGCTTGGTGGATGGGCGGCAAGGCTGCTGCTGGCGGTGCTGCCAGTGTTGCAGCTCGCGGATTGCACAGCAGCCCACACGGCGAGATGGAGAGGAGTCATGCCGTTCTGAAGAAAGAGGAAGAAAATGCGCAAGTGGGGGCGGAAGAAATGGGGAGATGGAATGAGAGAGTTGTTTGAACAGAAATGGGGCGGAGGGACAAAATAGAGTACTATAGACAGAGGGATGAATGCTGCAGCAAGCGTAAGGGCATGCAAAAGGTGACATGAAGGTTGAGGTTACAAAGTTGCGATGAGGATGAGCGGAAAGGAGGCTTACTGTGGCAGCAACGTCCGCCCGTGCGCCTGCTTGTATCAGCAGCTGAATGGCGTCCGCGTTGCTGCTCTTGGCCGCCACGTGCACTGGGGTCTCGCCGAACTGTGAATAGATGGAGGGAGAAGAGAGGGAGGGAGGGGGGAAATGAGAAGAGGGGTGTCCGCGAAGAGAACGGGAGCAGCTGAATGGCGTCCGCGTTGCTGCTCTTCCGCCAAGCTCAACCTCAGCAGCCCATACAGACCAAAGGAAAGCAGAGAGCATCTGCCCTCACAGCAAATGCCTTTGAACCTCGTCATACACTTCTACTCGTCTCACCATGTTCCGCGCTTCCACGTCTGCTTTCACTTCTGCTCCGCCGCACTGCCCCCTCCACTCCAGCAGAAAGCGGAGAGCCTCGAGGTGCCCCTCCGCCACGGCGAAATGGAGAGGCGTCTGACACACCTGGGTGACGAGGAGTGGAGAGGGGTGGAGAGGAATGGAGATGGGAGGGCGTGACGTGGGGAAGGCGTGACGTGGGGAGGGTGAGACACAGGTTTTACATGTGCGCAGCGAGGCAGCCTGATGACAGGTTTTATTACTTCAGGTCCGCCGCAAAACCAACTTCCTTTCCTTCTGCTCACCGGCAGTTGCCTCTCGTTGATAGCACCAGGCCTGACAGCAAGCGCATCCCGCAGCGCCTCCACGTCCCCCTCCCGAGCTGCCACGTGTACCGATCTCCGCTTCTTGCTCCGCACTAAAACCGCGACTTCCGGCGCCGTCTCCTGGCCTTTTTCCGATCCTTCCGCCGGTCGCTCCGCCGTCCGCGCCTCCCCATGGTCCTCCCCCGTTCCGCCAGCAGACTTTCCGCCCGCTCCCCCTCCACTGGCGGAACGGTCGTCCGCCGCTTCCCCCCAGTCCAGTCTCCGCCTTGCCGCGGCGCAGCACCGCCGACCAGCTCTCCCCCTCCCCGCATCCCCCCCGTCACTCATTCCCGACTCCGCTTCCCCCAAGCCTAACCCTCCGCAACAACCGCAAGAAGGCGAAGGGGCTGGCGCTTCAACCGAAGCATGCTGTAACGAGGACGACGAAATGCTGGTTGTTCCCGTGCAAGGGCTCTCGATATCAGGGACCACCGAAATCTGCGGCGCTAATTGCGGTGGAGAGGAGATGTGAGAGGCATGGCCGGCTGAACCGGTTTGACCAGCTTGAATAACTTGACCGTCTGGACCGTCTTGACCATCCGACTGCGACGACTGCGACAGCTGTGACGTCTGCGACGACTGCGACGACTGGGACGACCCGTCAACGGACTCTACTACGACGAGCGACGAACCTCCTGAAAGCTGGGAAACTCCCTTTGATTGGTCGCTCGGGTTGTTACCAGGGACCTGAGGTTCTGTAACCTGACGCGGCTCAACGAACGAATCGCCATTTTCGTCAGCTGTCGCAACCGCTTCGCGAATGTCTTCGCTAAGTTCGCACTTGGCTGGGGAAGAGTGAGACCTAGAAAAGCCTAGGGTGGTGGTTACGGCAGGGCCTAGCTCGACGGGAGGCGGAAGGTATGGGCCGTATGTATCAGAAACGGCGGGACCGAAGGGAGCGGGTGACGGGATAATCTCGGCCGCTGGTGAGCTGAGAGAAGGGGATAACGGATGGCTTAGATTGGCGAGCGCTGGCGAAATGGCGAATCGGAACGAGCCGGAATCGGCTGAGTCGGGAGATGAGGAAGCTCGTTGCTGCTGCGACTCGGGTGTTCCATTCTGAGGGAAATCTGCTTGTACTGCTGATTCAGGGTAGGATGCATGCAAGAGAAATGAATCAAACGAGGTGCGAACGGAGTCTGTGCACGCGATAACGGAATCTGTTGAAGTGGCAACGAAATCCGTCAAAGCCTGAACGGGCTTTTCGACAGTGGGAGCGAAATCCGTCGAGGAAGCAGGAGGTGAAACTAAGGTGGTGTTGGAGAGCTGGGGAAGGGAGACCGCGCGGGAGGCGGAATGAGGAACGCTGGTGGGTGGCGCGGAGAATGACAAAGAGGAGGAAGAGCCATGGCCAGTTGTTTGCCTCCTTGGTGCTGCTGTTGCTCGCGGTGCTCCTGCTCCCCCTACTGAACTTCCTGGAACAAAATCGAATATCGTCTCTAGCGTCTGCTCTTTAGTCAGACCGCCTCTCCTATCAGCTACGATGAACATTCTCCTAGGAGTACTTATTCTTACTAATGCCGTAACAACCGTTTCGTTAGGCGCGCTACGCCAGCATGTTGCTACTCCGTGCAAGAACCGCTTAGGAACCCCGCACACATCAGCGGAATTAGGAAAGATACTAAAGACATAGGACAACCAGAGCCGCAATTCGAGAAAGGAGAAAGGAGACGAACACTAGTTGCAGGGAGGCATGGCTTTTTGTGAATGCTGCATGTTTCCTTCCCAATAATTTCAGGCACGGTCCGAGGAGGACAAGGCTAGTGAAAGAAAACGCGAAAGCAGATAGACCTAACGGAAGTGGGGAAGGCGGCTCTTGCGAAAGGTGGCGGAGATTGGACGAGTGACGAAGGCTAGGCGCGAAGTCCTGGTCATATTTGACGGCTAGATATCAAAGATCGACGGTAGAATTTTGTCGCGAAGGACTGTTGCGGGACAAAGTGGGCTGCAGCGAAATGGGAATGTCAAGTTGCGATTGTTTGCCGACACTCGTGGCTGTCACGAGTGTCCCCCTTTGATGCAGCGACAGGGCACTATTTTCACGTCCGCCACGTAACTTCGCCAAGCCGTCAGGTACACCTTGCTCTTGTCAGGCCTTGGCCGACACGGCTTGCCACGACGCGACGCGTTCGGAAGGTTTCCCGCCAAATACCAAGCACACCAAAATGGCCAGCTCAGCAAAGTGAACGGTTCATAAAGCTTAGAAGGTACAGCTCAATAACCTTTCCGTTATAGGATATTGTTGTCGCATTCCTTCAGAACTAGCGAACTCTAGAATGAAACTTGTTCTCCCACAGCATTTATGTCTATAAGAACAAAAACCAGAACCCGCACATTCATTATAATGACATAACATGTAGAAACCGTGTACCATCAAGCCTCATCTTCTGCAACGTAATCACATACAAAAAACACCGCAAACAAGCACGACACATTAGCAATTGTTGAAACAGGATAATGCGACACGAACACACAAATGTGAGCTTGACGCACTGCACGACACTTACCTAGGCGTTTGAATCTATGATTGCCACGAAAACACCACCAGCAGGCAAGTATCACGAGAAGCACCACAAGCACACTCGCCACCACAATGACCACTATCAACCAAATGGGCGTTCCTGTAAGGGGGACACGGAAACAAGCGGCAGGCACAAAGAAGCACATGCAGTGCATCGAATCTCGAATGGAAAATACACTGCCATGAAAAACATCATGGTAAAAAAACGACAAACATTCAATTTCCGCAAGTCATCAATCCACTGACCTCCCCCTCAACTGGCAGTGCACTCACCATTGCTTATTCCGACCGGTGGCGTTGCTTCTGCTGCACTCACTGCTGCTGCTGATCCTGCTGCTGCTGCAGTTCCGCCTCCCTCACCTTGTACCACATTCACCTCCTCTCCCCCCTCCTCTCCCTCCTCCTCCTCTTTCTCCAGGGACAATGGCACCACTTCAAACAGCTCCACAGCACTTATGACAGCTGGCAGCGTGCTATTGGCTGCTGTGCGCACGCCTACCTGGTCAGGGTACAAGGGAAAAGCGAGGCGAAGCGAGAACGAAGGAGGGTTGGGGATGGGGACTTCAGATGGTGATCAGAAGCTTCAAGTCTAGGAACTGAGGTGCCTATATGCCGACGTATTGACTCAACAAGAAGCACCCACTTTCGAACTAATGCTCTTATGATGATGGCCATGTGCATAAATAGATAACCCAAGTCCAAAGGATAACAAGCTAGTAATGATGAAACAAACAGCAGACACACACAGCAGCACCCACCTCCAGGTCCTCTGAGCGACCGAGGGAGAAGCGGGAGAAGTTGAAGAGGAGGGGCACTATGAGGGCCGTGCGGGGCGGCACGTGCGAGAGAATGTCAAAATCAGTAGATGCTTCCGCTGCCGCTGCTGCTGCTCCTGATGTCGCTCCTACTGCTGCTTCTGCTGCCGAGTTAGCAGCACCACCAGCAGCACCAACAGCACCAGCACCAGCACCTCCTCTCGCTCCCCCACCCAATAGCCCGATTCTATTCCCCAGAGCCACCACCCGACTCCCACTCCCCAGCAGGACATCAAACCGCCTGTCACCCACCCGCGCACTCACGTTCATCTCCGCAAAATAGAAGCGCATGTACCAGAGGTTCGACGCGTGCGCTGGTATCAGAGCCATCCGGAACCCCGTGATCTGCGCGCCTGAGGAAGCGGGGGACGTCCCTGATGTCCCTGCTGTGCCTTGAGGATCCGGACCAACGAGCACTCGCCTGTGCTGCTCCTGACTTAGCGCCATGTCGTAGCCATGACTATGATGACATCCAGAGGGTTCTGAGAGCATCTGGTGAAGCAGGGCAGCGCACTTGGTGCACAGCGTGTCATGGGAGCGATGGTCCCGCAAACTCAGTCGTCTGCGGGAATTCACCTGCCTCTGCCCTTGTCCTTGTTGCCCCTGCCCTTGTCCTCCCGGCCCCTGCCCCGGCACCTGCCCCTGTCCCTTCCCGTCCACTGATTGCAATTGCAACCCCCCAGCCGACCTCCAATCCTCAAATATCATCCCAGGTAGAAACTCAGGTGCTTTTCTCGTCCCCGCAACCCCCCTCCCTCTCGCCCACCCTCTCCTCCCCGGCCCCGCCCTCCCAAGCCGAGCCATTTCCTTCTCCCAAACCACATCCGCAATCCAGGTTCGGAACCCCGGGTCCTGAGGCTCAGGCCCAACCTGCCCGCCGCCCATGTTGATCCGGAGATAAGACGAGAGGATAATATCTGGGCCGAGGGTGGCAGAGTCGTAAGCTTCTGAGTGAACGGGGAGAATCTCTAGGGAGTTGATGATAGGAGGGGCATGTGATGGGTTTTGTGTGAGGAAACAGATGGAAATGGTTCCATTGCTGCTACTGCTCCTTTCTGTTCCGTTGCTGCCCCCTGCTGCTCCCTGGGAGAAATTTCCCTCTTTCCCCATTTTCTGTCCCTTTCCGCCTGAGCCCACTGCTCCTGCTCCTCCTGCTCCTGCTCCTGCTCCTGCTCCTCCTCCTGCTCCTGCCCCTCCTCCCCCTGTCGCCCCTCCTACTGGCATCCCATTTCCGCCTCTGCTTCCCCCTTGCTCGTCTGTACCCCCCACTGGGGTTGCCCCTCCCCCAGGGGGGGCATACGCCATATAGTCAGAATAGTACGCTCCTGATACAAGCCTCTGCTCCACTACACCCATATCAACTGCTTCCACTACAGTATTCTGCAGTTTAACTAAGAAAAACGGCGGCGCGCTTTGGTTGTCATAATCATAATATGCAAACCCTACTCGCACTAAGTATCGCCCGGGAAACACAGGAACCCTGTAGCAGCCCCCAAGCGTTGGGAAATAACGCAGAGATGCTTCTACCGAGGATAAAAGGTTGCCCAGGGCGACGTTCTGGGCGAGCGAAACTGGTAACCCGTTACGGTTGTCGGCGGGGTCCGTGCGCTGGTTACCAGATGTGCTTATATCGAAGTATTGGTCTGCTTGCCATTGGATCCCGTTTATAGTTGTGCCGACTGTGCTTCCACAGTCGATACGGATGGGAACTGATGATGTTGGGGGAAGAGGGATGAGATGAGATGAGATGAGGAGTTAGAAGCGATGCTTCCCGTTAATAGTTGTTTACGACTTTGCTTCCACAGTCAATACGGATGGGAACTGGTGATGGTTGGGAAAGAGGGAAGGGAGGTAGGAGGGGAGAGGGAAGGGGGCAATGCGGGACAGGAAACAAAGAGATGAGGTGTAGGGGTGTAATGATGAATACTGTTAATGGTTGTGCCGACTGTGCTTCCACAATCGATACGGATGGGAACTGGTGTTGGTGTGGGGAGAGGGCGGGGGGATAACGGGGGACGGGGTGAGATGAGATGAGATGAGGAGTTAGAAGCGATGCTTCCCGTTGAAAGTTGTTTGCGACTTTGCTTCCACAGTCAATACGGATGGGAACTGGTGTTAATGTGGGGTGGATACGGGAACTGATGTAGGAGGGGAGAGGAAGGGGGGCAATCGGGGACTGGGAGGCAATGGATGCGGGAACTGATATGAGGCGTGGAGCATGAAGAATGGAGGACTCGGAGGGTTGTATCTTCTAGTCGACTCAACGAGGTGAACTTTGAGTCGACTCAAGAGATGAGGCGTGGAGCATGAGAGGTGGAGGACTGGGAAGGTTGTATTTTTTAGTATGAGGCCAAAAATGGGGCAATAGGGGACGGGATGCCATGAGATGAGGCGTTGAGCATGAGAGGTGGAGGACTGGAGGGGGGGTGGGAGGGAAAGGGGTGAGAAACTTGGTGAGGAAGGGAGAGGCAGGGGAAGAAGGGAGGGGTGAGGTGGGGAATAGTGAGTCGGGAGAGGTGAGAAGAGGGCGACGAAGCGCGCTGGCACTCGACAGAAGCGTGATGTCGTACTTACCCAAGGTCGGTCGCGCGGCGACAGCTGACGACGCGTGCGACGCCAGGCATGCGACAAGGAAGAGTGAACGCAAGCAGAACAATCTCCCGAGTGAAGAGCAGGGTGGTTGAAAGGTAAGCTGTTTCCAAGTTTCCAGAACGGCGCTCGTTCCCGACACGAGAGCTGGGTAGGAGCGTAAGGCAGGTGGCACTGGAGAGGCGGCGCCGGGGAACGCTGAAGAAGCGGCGGAATAGCGGCGCCAGGGGCGTTCCGAGAATATTCGCCTTGGAGCCATTTCGCTACTCGCGCAAATAGTCGAGTTTGCTTGTTTATTTAGGAATGGTTAAGTGCACTGGGTCGTATAGCAGTCAGCGACTGTCGTCCGCGTGGAAGGTCGCACGTGCGACGGGAAAACATCGTCGCACGCTGCTGCATGGTTCGCATACTGCGACAACCCAGCGCTGGGTTGTCGTTAGCCTGCCTGTAGTCCTAACGGTCGTTAGTCTCCTGCTCCTACAAGTTAGCATAGGAATGTAATTGGTCCCCCAAATAACCGTAACATTGTAATTTTCTTCGCGAGGGCAGTGACGACCAATCACACAGCGTTTACAACGGACCATCCGTCTAACGAACCGTCAGGGCAAAATGGTTACACGCCCTAACAGCTAGTTACCCTTGCTACGGGGGATTGGTGGGGGAGGGGGTATTGAAAAGTGCACTAGCAGAGGGCAGGCGCTGAACGGTTTGTATAACATTTTGAACGGTGCAGATGGTGATTAACGAAAGTGCCGTGAATATCGTAGGGTGAGAAGAGGTGGTGGTTTGGTGATAAGCCGATGACGCTGCCAATAGTTGGTTGTGGATGAGCCTAAAGATTGACGATGCGAGTACGACAGATGGGTTACTTTCGTGTAAGACTCGCGGAGCAGCTCGCACATGAATTCGCTAGCCTAGAAATTTCGGGAGGTCGCCACTTCGCATTCGCGAGTCTCGTCACCCGTGACAAACACCGACATCCCCGGGATGGGCTCAAGCATCAATACGGAAACACGCCTTCAGATTGCAGATGGAGAAATTACAGCGAGGACATTCCAGTGCCAACTACAGCGCATCAGTATTTCGCATAGGAACAGAACAGACAACAAACATTTTCCTCTCATTGTAAATAACATCATTTGCTCCATTGCCGAGAACTGCTTGTCCGCAACAATGGCGTCCGCGGCCGCGCAGCTGTCGCTACCGCGCGTCTTTCGTTCATCTCCAACCGTCCGTTGTCACTCGTCGGGCCACCATCGTTCCGCCGTGCTTCCGCGTTTCACGGGCCTGCAACTCTCGTCACCAGCAGAACGAATAGGCGGCGAAAATGCGTTCCGCAGGACTAGACCCGTGCCTGGCGGAAACAGGGGAAACTGGGAGCGTTTCCGCCTCCTGAGTGCGCTGGCTCGCGCGGACGTTGTGGCGGCGGCGGAAGGCGGAACCCGCGCGCCGCAGCGGGATCGGAAGCAGAAGCTCGCTCCGCCGAGCGGGCGCGCGGGGGGCGCGGGGAGGTCGGGCGGCGGAAAGATTCCTTACGAGCTGGAGGCGGTGATCAGCAACCTCGTGTCGCTGGCGCCACGTGGCAGCATCTCGCGATGCATGGAGACGTTCAAGGGGAAGCTGTCGTTGTCGGTAGGGTTAGAGAGGATTATCTATAATGATCAGGGTTTGGTGGGAGCCATCTACAGTAATTAGGGTTTCAGCCACCCGCGATAATGAGGGGAACTTTTAGCCGGTTTTTGTCTGGAGACGTTCAAGGGAAAGCCGTCGCTGTAGGTAGGGTTTGGGGCCGTGTGCAGCGATTTAGGGTTTCAGCGGCAATAGTCAGATTTTGAGGAGAGACATGTCCAGTAATTAAAGTTTCGGCCACCCGCGGTAGTGAGGGAAAGCTGACAGCGCCTGCCACTCGCAGTGACACGCCATGATATCTCCCCGCGTGTTACTCGTATTCGCCATCCCCCCGCTCTCCTCTCTCCCTCTTCCCCCCCGCCTTCCCGTTCCGCTCCTATCCCCTCCCCTCCCCCGCCCACCCCACCCCCCGCCCCAGGACTTTGCGCTGATTTTCAAGGAGTTCGCGCAGAGGGGCGATTGGATCCGCGCAATGCGCCTGTTCAAGTACATGCAGGTGGGGGAAAGGGAGGGGGGAGTACAGGGAGATGCGAGTGGGTTGGGTTCGGTTGAGAGATGAACGCACTCTACAGGGCAGAGGGGCGATTGGATCCGCGCCATGCGCCTGTTCAAGTACATGCAGGTGGGTGGGATGCGGTGCAGGTGGGTGTGCGTTGTGAGGGAAGTGGGTGCCAGTGGAGACATGGGAGTGTGGTGGGTTGAGGGATGCACATAGCAGCGCCATGCGGCTGTTTAGGTACATGCATGTGGGTGGGGGGCTTGTGGGGGGTGGGGAGGAGTAAGAGGAGGTGGGAGTGGGTTGAGGTGTGCTCAGGGGTTGACTGGATCCGCGTCATTTGCCTGTTCAAGTACATGCAGGTGGGTGCTCAGGGGTGTTAGTGGGTTTTCGGCGGTGTGGGTGTGTTGAACGATGGTGTGCTTCCTGTGCTCCCAACGTTTTTTATGGCGCCTAAGAAATCCTTGTGCCCATGATGCCTGTGCTGTCCGTGTGTGCGTGCAGCGCCAGCAATGGTGCGCGCCCAATGAGTACATCTACACGATAATGATCGGCATTATGGGTGCGTACCATGCCCTGTCCGCATGCACACATGCGCACCCATCAGCATGCATGCATGCATGCATGCTCCACAGAAATGTGCACGGTGCACCCTCATTTGTGTGCCCAACGAGTACATCTTCACGATTATGATTGGCATCATGGGTGCGTAGCATATGCCTTGCACATATGTCACCCACGGGCAGGCATACAAACACATAAACACGTGCATACATCCATAAATCACATATTTATACATGCACACCATTGTGATCACAGCATCATCGATGCGTATCCCTTGCATGCACACACATACACACATGCCCTCTCGCACGCCCACCAACATTCATGCAGTTTTCTCCAACCCACATTGGTTGTTTTACCATCTTCAGCTTTACCCTCACTTCTATGTTCGTCCCTCTCTCCCTTCCCCTCCAACCAGGTCGAGAGGGCATGTTAGATCGCGCACAGGAGTTATTTGAAGAAATGCCGGAGCATGAGGTGGAGTGTGACTTGTGCTTCTTGTCTCTCTTTCTTTCCCCTTCTTCCCATCCTCTCCCACCTTCTTCCCGTCTTCCCCCTTTCAGGACGAGAGGGCATGTTGGACCGCGCACAGGAGCTGTTTGAGGAGATGCCGGAGCATGGGGTTGAGTGGAATGTTTACTCGTTTACCGCCCTCATCAATGCTTACGGGAGAAACGGCATGGTGAGAGACGGCTGCTGATGCACCTCATTTCCGGCTTTTAATGCGCCTGGTGAGAAACGACTTCTGGTGCGTTTCACAAACTGAACGGAGCATGGCGTGGAGTGGATTCCTTCACTGCGCTCTTTAGTGCTTATAGGAGGAACGGCATGGTGAGAAATCACTATTGCTGTGCTGAAAACCTCAACGTTTGAGGCGCCTCACTAGTTGAACCGAACGGAGTGGAACGTCTATTCCTTCACTGCACTCGTCAATGCTTACGGGCGGAATGGCATGGTGAGAGATGGGAGCGCTTGTTGGAGGGAGGGAGTAGCAGCGAACAGCATCACATACAACACCGTGCTGCACGCATGTGCCAAGGGCGCCTGCTCTTCCCCACCCCCACCCGTTCCTACTCCCACCCCACCCACGCCTCCCACCCTGTTCCCCATCAGTTCGAGAGATCATTAGACCTGCTTGCGAGGATGAAGCGCGAGGGAGTAGCAGCGAACAGCATCACATACAACACCGTGCTGCACGCATGTGCCAAGGGCGCCATTCCCTGGGATGGTCTTGTTGATATCTTCGCCAAGATGAGGCAGGAGGGCGTGCAGGTGAGAGGGAGGGGAACGGAGGAGGAGGGTGAACTGATAGGAGGAGGGTGTGTGTGGGAGTGTGACAGTGCTGCATGCATGTGCCAAGGGGGGCACCCCCTGGAATGGGCTCGTTGATATCTTCGCCAAGATGAGACAGGAGGGCGTGCAGGTGAGAGGGGAAGTGCAATGGTGGTAAGGGAAGTGGGAATGGGACGTAGTCACGCTCAACATGGTGCTAGCAGCCTGCGATGTTCCTTGCTCATCTTCCCCATTCCCTCCCCTCTCACTCCCCCTTCTCACTCCCCCTTCGCACTCCCCCTTCTCACTCCCCCTTCTCACTCCCCCTTCTCACTCCCCCTTCTCACTCCCCCTTCTCACTCCTCCCTCCTCTCCTCCCTCCAGCCCAACATAGTCACGTTCAACACGCTGCTAGCAGCCTGCAATGCTCGTTCCTCTGTCTCTCCCCTCCTCACCCCCCCTTTCCCACTCTCCTTCCCCTCCCGCACCCCTCCCATTCAGCCCGATATAGTCACATTCAACACGCTGCTAGCAGCCTGCAATGCGCGCTCGCTAGTGGAACAATCAGCCATGGTTTTCCGCTCCATGGTTGCATCACAGGTATCTGTGTGTGTGGGTGTTTGTGCGTGCGTGCGTGTCCAAGTGTGTGTGTGTGCCTGTGTGCATGCATGTGCGTGTCTGTCTCTGCGCTAGTGGAACAGTCGGCCATTGTTTTCCGCTCTATGGTGACCTCACAGGTATCTGTGTGTGTGGGTTGTTTGCATGTGTCTGTGCATGCGTTCCGTTTGCATGCATGTGTGTATCTCTTTGTAAGCGTATCACCTGCCTCGTTTCCATCCACTTCACACACACTACTTCACCAACCAACCCCTATGCTTACCTTTTCATCCTCCAACCAACCCTCCTGAACTCCCGCTCTTCACATCCTCCGTCCCATTCCCTCCCAGGTGCCGCCCAACGCCCTCTCCTACGCCTCACTGGCCTTCACACACCGCCGGGGCGGGTAGCTGTTCTATGCTTGCCTTTTATCCGTCCAACCCTCCTATCCTACTCTCACGCTCTTCACACCCTCCCCCTCCTCACTTGGGAGGAAATGAGGGGAGGGCGGGCAGCTGTTCTATGCTTGCCTCAAAATCCCCCAACACTGACACTCCAGCTCTTCAATCCCTCCCTCCATTCCCTCCAATTCCTCCCTACCAGGTGCCACCCAACGCCCTCTCCTACGCCTCATTGGTCGTCACGCACAGGAGGGGCGCACCTGCCTTTTAATCCTCCAACCCACCTATCCTACACTTCCAATCTTCATTCCCTCCCAGGTGCCACCCAACGCCCTCTCCTACGCCTCGTTGGTGGACACGCACCGCCGGGGCGGGCAGCTGGGTGGCGTGCGTCATCTGTTCCAGGAGATGTCGGAGGAGGAAGGGGTGGTGGCTGACGT